GACTTGTTTCCTGTGGTGTTGACTCCTCTTACAGTTATATATAATGCATATTTAGAGGAGGTGGAGATAGAGCAAGACATAAGACAAAAGGTAGAAGAAAGCCATGAAGGATTTCATTGTCTTATCATTTATAGATTCCTTGTTAGGTTGAATTGGATGGACATCCTGGTAAAATACCAGCCCAGATTTGATTTATTTTCATCATCACTTGAACCTATTTAAATTGCATTTTTAAGGTGCATGTTAGCAACATTAAAGTTGACAAATGACCATATGATCCTCATTTTGTTCCTTTATGAGTTACATGCTAGCCTGCTGCGGCGTGGCACACAGGACACTCACTTATTTTAGCACGGTGGTTTGTGGTCAGATGTGGACATAAGCATATCATTAATACAGCTCACGGCTCTATTTTTGTCACTGACCCATATTAAAATTATCACAGTATAATAAATATATATATAAAAAAATCTATTTAATGTTTGCTATGACAACTCCAACTTCTGAATCCAACAACAGGGCACCACAGTCTGTAATTATTGTTCAACTTAAAACTCAAAATAAACTGTCTCCACTCCTCGGTCAGTGGTGCGTGTTACGCTATGAGTACCACAAATGATTCTTTGTTTCTTCTTCTCTGAGACAAACATCAAAGTGAACAGAAAGGTGGGAATGAAAGCCCACAATTTTGCTTCTGTGAATGGTTGCGGTTCACTTTCTCCACCCCTCCACCCCCTGTTTCCTAAATGTAAAAATGGATACTGGCTGTCTGCTTCCGGCGGTCATTCTGGTGCTGTACAAACATTTCTCAGCATCTTTATCGGATCCTTTTATCTGTGGCAGCCATGCCAGCAGCATCACATGGCCGGTGCTCACATGGCATCCGTTATGTCAAAAAGGAAAAGGCCTGTCATTACACTGTAGAGGCTGGAGATTCATCTATAATTGGTAAATGCATCAGGGCCACATCTTAAAGGGAAATGAGGAGATTCTCCATTGACGCTTAATGTTTCTCATTAGCCACCCCGTGCTCCTTCTGCTCCTTTTAGCCCTAAACTGTAATGTCTGTTTTATTGTGACTAGTAGTGGCAGTAGAAAGGCACTTACTCGGAATTTGGAGCAAAGCCATCAGAGTGGGACAAATGGAGCGAACCATTCAGTAGCTCTAAATTTTTTTTAAGGACCCCTTCGCTCTAGCTTGGTGCTGACACAAAAGGAGGTATTGATGTAAGGAAAGACTGAAGCTTTGTGTTCGTATGCCCACCAGATCTGGCAGGGGAAACAGTTTCTTTCACAAAACCCAATTCAAAATGCGAATGGTGGCACATCTTGTACTCGAGAAACCTACAGTAGGCTTGTTTTCCTTGAGCTATGCAGGACTTTAGTAAGACACCACGCAGAAATTTGGGAAATAAACAAAGAGATGTAGAAAAACATGTAGGAAATTGTAAATATTCTATGCTTTTCTTGCATGGCACAAATGAATTGTGTGGCTTTAAATTCCCTGACAAAGGAATGTGAGCCTTGGTTTGAAGTATATGCATGATGAGTGTATTTCCACCTGAGCAAAGAAGGAAACGGTAAGCAAATATGTGAATGACACCTATTCACTGAGAATCAGAGCAGGGCTTTGTCATCTTGTTTTCTTTGCACCACCTGCTGACCTAACCCCAAGTATTTACTTAAACTCTCCCCTCACGCACAAAGCCATTGTTTGTGTTGCAGAGGGCAGACTTGACACAAAATGGTATGCTAGTATGCTAAAACCATGAAACGTTTAAGTCGGATTTCTAAATTTAGGGTGGGAGTAATGCTTCATGGTCTCTTGTGGGACTGGGTAGAGGGGTTGGCAGTGCTATGCATAAACAGTGAGGTCATAATCAAAATGATAAAGTGTGTTCCAGTGAAAACAAATGCAATTCAACAGAAAAAAGACAAGCAGGAAAGTCAAAGATTTGACTGTATTTGGGCAGAAAATCCCTCTTGTTTATCGCATCACATGCCCTCGAGTACTCTAATGGGTCTTTTTTTGGGAGCAAGGGTCATTCGGCCCTAAAGCATCAATAAAATCCAAATAGAAAGTGGCAGAAATAGAACTGAGAACTGAGTTTACAGAAGTAGGATTTTCAGATTACTTCTAACAATACAGACTTTACTGTCAGTTCCAGGATTTTTTTTTTTTTTAAAGATACCACAGTCATCACAATTAATGTTATTTTGTTTCTTAAACATTTTGGTGGCTGTAATGGTCAGACAGCTTCGGCCTCTGCCCACATCTCATAGGCGCTTTTCACATGTTTTGCTGGATCTAAATCCAGAGAAAACAGGCTTTCGTTTCCGTTCTGTCAAAGGCTTTTATGGGGTGGTCAGCCGCAACGGAGTACTTACAAAAAAAAAAAAAAAAAAAAAAAGTTGTCATGTGTCATGTCACAAAGAAATTTAAAAATGTTACTCTGTATTTCAGTGACATCTTTGGTGTAAAATTGCCCAATTATGATTTCAAGCGTCCTCTGTGACACAGTGTGATTAAATAGTTCATGACTTCCCACTGAAAGATGAATGGACGCATAGATAAGGATAAAAGGATGTTAAGGGATGTACATACATGTAGATAAGTTTTTGCTGTCCTGGTCATTTGCATTTGAGAAACACTGGTGTTTGATGTAATTTCTAAACGGCTTTGAGAAAACTGTGGATAGCAAACACATCAGTGCGGGCCGTGGCAGTGAAACCAAACCACATCACATCTTTGATGTCTGTCTATGGTTGTATGTGTGAAGGAAACCAAAAAGAACAGCACTCATAAATCCCCAGGTTACCGTTTCCTGTTTAAGCACAAAATTAGAGAAATGTCTGGCTTTAATAACAGCGAGACAGTTCACGTGACACTTGATCCAGTTTCAATAAATGCCAACAAAAAGAAAAAAAAAAAAAACATTTTACAGGCTGAATTTTATTTGAAGCAGCATGATATCGGCCAAGAAGTGCTTCCTATGCAAAATTTGCCAGAGAGCTTAATGCATCTTCTGCTGATATACTCAAAAACTGCCCGTATAGATTTTATGTACAGTTGGAAAATGGTCAAAGACGACAGAAGACTCAATAATAGTGATATTTCCTGTACATCAGTTTTATATAAGAGATGAAAACTGCTTAATTTGTCTCCTCATCACTCATGAGTTGTATGCAGTGAGTTTTGTGTGTTGAAATTCTGTTCCCAGTCCACATAGTCACTCATTATCACATGCAACAACCTGAGTTTTATGAATTGCATTCCTCCGCGTGAGATAATTTACTGTGTATTTAGATTTATGTCCCCTTCTCAACCATCATTATCGCCTACAACAGCACCAGTTTTATGTGTAGCTCTGAGACACGTCTGAGTCACCTCAATTTTGTGTCTGTTTATCACAGATCTTGCAGCAATGGGTATCGTACATTCAGATCCTCTGCTTGGGCTGTTTTGCATATTTTGAAAACCCCTCACGATTGATGTGGCAGGGCACCATATAACAGAGAAGGAGGGTGGGGTTACCTAAATGCCCACATTTTACCACCGGTGGTGGTGGGGAGGGGGAGGCTTTAATTCAGTGGAAAGTGGTTATTCTATATTTGCCCCAACCATACAGTGACTCCACCCTCCACACGTCCCACATAAAGCCACTCCAATATAAGAGTTTATGAATGCTGAACCTCTTCTCATTAGGTTTATGCTCTGACGCGGCAGACCTGGTAACACTTTACTAAAACAGAACAATCAGCCCAAACTAACCAGATAATGATCTGTTGACATGACTGATTGTACTTCAAGTGCACTGAGGTGGTTTAGCTTAGCAGTGTGTGAGAGCACGAATGAGAGAATTAATAAATATTTAAACAAAAAAGTCACTGCTTAGTATATAAAGAGAATTAATACAGAAAGAGAGTGACTATATAAACGAAAGCCTCTCTGCATTTCTGTAAGCGGGTGGGGTCAGGTGGACCAAAATGACTCGGACCACATTATATGTAAAGTTGGGGTAATTACTAGGTTAGGAGACTTAAATAGCCAGGCCCACAGTGGTAAACACACTGGAAGTCAAGGCAGCTGCCTCCACAGTATCTTTCCTTCTTTCCTCCTCAGAGACAAACCAGTCAGTGTGCAGGAAAATTTGGTTTAAAAAAAGCAAGAGACGCTTCAATTAACCAGTCAAACAAAAAAGGCTTGGAAATCAGTGCGGGTGTGTTTCACAACTAAAGCTGTGAAATGAACTGTGAATGTTTCTTTTATGGATTCTCTTCTTTCTTTGCACAAAGCACAAAATAGGTCAACAAACTCTTATATGCACACAAATAAATGTGAACCAGCCATGAGCAGTTTTGCTGGTAATGGACAAAATAACAGGAAGACCTCAAGGCAGCAATATCCTCTATCACAACTGCTTGTCTGATGTTGGAATAGCTTTGGAAACGCCCTCCCCCCAGAAGTTTTAAGATGTCAAATTTGGGAGGGGGGTTTGATTTCCGATGTGGTCAGACAACACATTGTATGAACTAGTTATTTTCTAGCAAAACCCAGCCCTTAGAGTCTAAAACAATACAAGACAACAACAGTACAAGATCATGTCAGTCTATTGGTCCACCACTTTGGTCCAGACTGAAATATGATCACTATTGTTGTGAAATCTTGTACAGACATCCCCAGAGGATGGATCCTGCAATTGACCTGTAGTGCCACCATAAGATTTTTTTTAAATGAAATGTGTCAAGATATTGATCTGCAATACTTTCTTCCTGTTTTTTTTTGCATTGCTTCCCCTCTACGAAGAAGATGAAAGAAAGAGGAAGCTGTGCTATTGACTGCAGGATGCAAAAATCTTTCAGACAAGTGGTACAGATGTGATAATTTCACAATTTTATAATTGCACCCTCACTTAAAAATGAGTGAGTAAAAGAATGTTTATTGCAACAACAAAAAATGCAAAAAGAACAGACTGGAACATCATCAAACAGTCTGGCACGCCAGAGTATCGGGGGGCCCCTTTTTATCACCAGCCAAGAGACTTGTGTCAACAGACAGAAACCTGCTGACAAACCTCGCACAATCCTGCAAACCAGCTGCAGTTGGAATGTTTGCGTACAGTAGCAGTGTAAACATCTGTTTTTACAGAAAAGGTCCCTACAATCCAGAGGGACAACTTCAAACTATTTTTGGCCCAATTACAAACATGCATGTACAGCAAACTACTATATACGTGTGCAAGAAAAGTACCCCTGCAGGGGGAGAAAATAACCTGTGGAGCACATTGGAGTCTTAATGGCATTTTAGCGACAAGAATAAATAAATAAATTTAGCATGGAGCATTAAATCTAATTCTCGTGTAGAAATAACCTGGCAAAGCATTGGTATTTCCTCTTCCTGCCATGAGCATTGCTATACAAAGCAATTCATTCTTTTTGCTATGCATTACATTTAATTTCAAGTTTCTTTGGTGTAAAAGCAGCTCGTGTTGCTAATTCAGGAGTCACTGGACAAAAATAACTAATGAGGTTCCTGGAATTTTGTGAAACAGCTAATACTGTATATTGCTCACAAACCCACAGCTATCTCCCTTAGGACTTTCCTAAATTTGCTAAACGACACAGTTTACGTTGGACAGAGAAAATACTCCCGAGTGCAAAAAGATAATCTAGCTTCCCATTGTCACCATGCTCTACCCCATATGTAACATTTCAACATCCTCGCTTCAATAGTTAAAAGCTTTCAATGTTTTTTCTGCTCAACAATACCTTGTCTTCATCAAACTATTTTAAATAGTAAAAAACTTTAAATAGCACACTATCATAAAATATACAGCTCTCTGTATCAGGATAAAAGACCCTAATAAATATCAGTTATCAAATATCAGCTAGAGTTTTCAGAAATGTTGGTTTTTCCTGCATCATGGTTCAGAGTTCATGTCCGTTGAAGTCTATAAAAAGTTGAACACTTTATCCTCAATCAAACTAACAGACTTATCTGTTAACATTTCTTCACTGCTTACAAATTTGTAGCCAAAAAGCTTCAGCGTTGGCCCACAAACTTTCTGGACAACCTGGGCTATTTTGAAAGGTAAACTGAACCTCCATTTCTCTACTTGTTGGGAGGAGTTTTTCTGTGTGGAGTAAACACCGCTGGTCTCCTTGGAGGCCTGGGTGTTCTTCAGGATCCAGGATTTCACTTGTGGAGTGAACGGGATTCCGGTAAACCTGTACATCTCCGTTGCCTTCCTCATGGGGAACCGAGCGATGTCCTCGTACCGCACTAGCATGTAACGCCCGCGCAACCACAGCGGCTGCCTGAGGCCGATCTCTGCAGACATCCTGATGTTGTCGCAGTTCCCTTTCAGCTTCCTCACTTCCTCGTCATCAATGGGTACGTCCCCACCCATGGCCCACTGCTTCCAGTTCTTGTATTTGGCTGCAAAGGCCACCATGCGCGAAGCCAGTACAGCCCGAGGATCCCGAACCAGCTGAATAAACTTAACGTCAAGACGTGGGTCCTCAACTAGGGGACGGAGGGTCTCCAGCTGGCGCACCCTCACTGACTTGATGGCCCTGTGCTCCTTCTGGAGGCAGGACTCAGACGCCATGGTCAGGTTCAAGGGCCCACAGCGCCTGGTCCTGCAATGATAGCGCTCAAAGACCCCTTTGATGAAGGGGCTGCAGACTGACTCCTCACACAAAGAGCTGCTGGACTCCCTGCGGAAGAGGGCGGTGGTGATATGGTCCACAGGGAGGGGGTCGAGAAAGCTCTCCAGCAGGGAGAAGTCACACAGGAAGAGCTGCTTGAGCACATCGCGGTACGCCTTGGCCGCCGCTGTGGCGTTGGTGCCGCCGGTCTCCAGTGTCAACATCTTCTCCACATGCCAGAGCGGCTCAAACAAGTAAAACATGTTATCGCCCTGCTGATTGAAAAACTCGCCCACAAACGAGGAGCCTGTCCTGGTGGTGGCTAATAGGAGAATGTGTTTCCTTCCCCTTGTCATCACCTCCTGGTGCTCACTGTAGTTCTCCAGGCGCTGCTTCATCTGCGGGAAGGCGGGGTCCATCTTGCTGAGTGAGGTGAAGGAACCATTGTGCTTCAGCAGTATGTGGGAAAAGCCACTGAGCTGTAGTGGGGTCTGGGGGGTCTGCTTTAAGGTGAGCTTATCTGACACCCTGAGAGTGAGAGAGGAACCACATAGTTGTATTAGCTTTCAAAGTCATCATAAAGGAGTCACAGCCTTATTGTTTACCTCAAGGACTTTTTGTAAAATACCTATTTAAAGCTTGGAAAAGATACAAATACACAAACCTACTGGAAATCAAAAACATGCTCCATTGGTCACTTAAATGGACTTACCTTGAGATAATGTTGTTTTCCTTCTCAATGATAACAAGTGCCACAAAAAAGACAATGGATATTGTATATTTGATCCTCATTCTTGGATGTAGCTGTGTCTGGATATGCTTTTACAGACTGCTTCTTAATAGGTTCTGCCAATCTCGCAAGTCTCCTGTCGCCTTCTTAAAGAGCCTTCCAGTTATTTGTATTCCTTGCTGTAGGCGATGTTTCACCCTGTAAATGAAATGAACATCAACCTGTCAGTTACACATTTTGCACATTTGAGCAAGGCTGCGAGTACCTACTTCTCAATTCTTCCTGTCTGCTGTTTATTGAAAGCAGGAAGTTAAAGGTCTGCTGCTGCATATGTGAAACTGCGCAGTGGTGCTGAGTCAGAGCGGTGGTTACACAGATGCTCTTCTCCTTTCTATGACTCTTTTCTCCCTCCATCTGTTAGGTGTGCAGAGCATCACTGTAACTGTGTTCTGGGAAGCCAAAGATTTACACAGAGACAAAAATATCATATCTGAAGAAGGTAAGAATAGAAAATAGCTGAGTGTGTTATACTGGAATCTAAGCCAGGCCTTCCCACGAGGAAGTCCTTGTTATCTTTAAGTGCACCGGTGCATTTCGGAAACATGCCCACCCACCATGCAAAGACTGAAAGCTGGTGCACTGCATTTATGAGTCAGTCTTTGTAGAAGTTACTTTAAAAAATGAGCAGAAAAACAAATGAAATATGCGTGACAGACTGCAGTCGAGCACAATTTTGTAATTAAACTGTAATTCCACAACTGCAAAGCTGCTTGCTTAAAAAGTCCGAGTTGTCTGGGTTAGAGTGATAAGCCCACCTCCCACTGATAGGTAGCAGGGCAGCCTGTGGTCCAACAACCAGCTGCTCCTCCATGTCAACACTGAGAGGAGAGCTTTTCAACAGAGGCCCTCAGTGACAACTGCTGGTACAGTAGACCATCTGGTGATGGGTTAATGACTCGCTGCCTCCCCATAATATGCCTTTGTGCTTCTAAAAGAGTGACTGAGACTGGGGGGGGGGCACATGTCCAAACTCTAAGAGGTATAACTGCACAGCGCTGAAATTGAAGGGGAAAGCCTGCTTGTCACAGAGCCATAAATTGTAGAGCTGTAAGCCTGGAGGCCATTCAGGTCGTTTATAAGTCTGCAGAGGGCAGACAGTGGGTAGTCAAATGAAGATAAGGGTGGCTTTAATGATGCCTATTTGGGAATATCTTGCACATTCCTGTGGGATTAATATTAGTTCACTTTTAAGATAATAGCAGCTTGGTTCAGATCCCTGACTAATCTTCAGATTTTAACATAATCCTGCCTACCTCCTCTGCCAGTGAAAGGGTCAATAACACGGCAAGAGTAAATGAGACAGTCTCCTCTCTGAGGAAATTGGCAAAGTGTAATTTTGATGTGTGCCCACAAACATGCCTCAGTTAGGAATTCAAAAGTATATATGAGAGCACACAAGATCTGCAGTAGGAGTTTTTAAATCCTGAATCAGGCGTCTAGGTTTGTGAAAACATTTGCTTATTGGATCTGTCAGGTGCTAGAAACAGAATCCTGAGTGTGGCTGTGATTCCTTATGGATTGCAGGTTTAGCCTAGGGGGGCGACACATTAGGGAAACTGGTGCTATTAATCAGCAGAGCCACAAGCAACAGACCAGCCTTTTCACTCACCACAGCAAGGTACTCATGTGTTTGACACGAAACAAGCAGCACTGTGTAAAGAAATGAAAAACCTGATACATGACCATCATTTTCTGAATTCTGATGAGCCTGAATGTCTTTGAGTTTCTGTGTAACACATCTGGAGACCCAGTTCTCACATCCTGTTGGAACCTGAGTCCCAGGGCAGTTTTGAGCACAGAAGCCAGTCCAAGTGACTACAGTCTAAACACAGGGAATGGTTGGATGCTGCCTGTGAAATTCTCCGGGAGGGAATGGGAAGTTTAGAGCTCCAATAGAGCACTGTTGACGTGGAACGGCATGTAATGAAAAGGTGAACAGCCTGTACACTGAGACACGTTTTCACTGGGAGGAAAAATCAGCTCCGTCTTGCACCACCCTGCCGCATGCCACAACCACAAAGGTCTCTTTACACAGGAGTGACTCTAAAACCCCCTGTGGGCTGAGATCGCAGAACATAAACTCCCAGGTCATTCACACGTCATAGGGTCAGTGACTAAGCCCCTGGATGTTATAAGTCATGTCGAACTGGTCAGATAGTTGGGTGAATCAGAGGAAAGTCCTTAAGCGCTCAGTGCTTATTTAACATTTGAAAATACACAGTCACAGTTTGTCTAAGTAAACCAACAGAGGATTTGTGTAGATCTACACTTTTAGTACAGCATATTTATTCTGCAGTTTATTTTCTACTGTGACTGTACCTGAACAAATTAAGACAAACACCACACATGATTTGGCCTAATGAATAAGACATGAGGGAATGATTACTGACTACAGTACTGTAGTTCTGTGGGATTGAAAATGTACTGTATTACAGCAGTTTTACTTTTTCTCCATATATGATTTGAAATGATCAAAAAAGCTACAATAATTCATCAAGAAAATAAGTAGTCTGGGGGTTTGTCATTTATATGGTAAATTAGATGTACACCAATTATCTCAGCTTATTGCATCTGCTGTGTTAAGTAAAAAAAAAATAAATAAAAAAATACACACGAGCTGACATTCTTGAATATTCACAAACCACTGAGGCATATGACACGTTTGATCATCTGCTCATAACAAAACCGCCACTGCACCATTTATCATCTTGTTACAAATGCTTTTAATAGCTGCCTTTTATTTAATGTAAATCTCATGTGAAGACAAATTAAACACCAGCCAGCCAAACCCCACTTTGCTGGGGATTGTGTTGCAGATGTACACTGTATGTCACACAATATCCCCTTCCAACCGCATAAAGGGATTTTTTTTTCTTAGATCCTTTCAGAAATATAGTATTTAGGTGTGATGATTATAGGAGGATGTGTCCTGATATACAAGAATAACAGACTAGAAAATACAAAATGTTTGAAACGTAATGGTGGAGTAGGGTTAGGCGATACTACAGGTTATATTGTGTGATGATAGACATTTGTCAACTGTAAATTTTCTACAACAGTTATACCATGGTATCTACCTTTGTGATGTTTCTGGCTGTACTAAGTCATTGTGGGAAATCTTATAAATCAATGAAGGTAACATTATACAATGTATTGTTCTCGTCTATATTTATTTGATAGCTCTAGTTTAAGTGACTTTGCGGGTTAAGCTTTAACAAACAAAACACATCATTAACATATGACAGGATGCATTGCTATTGCTTAAACCGTGTAAAATTGTTAAATTAGCTGATGAAAACACCCAAACAGACATTCCCATCTGGTTATTTTATCCACAAACTATCTGAATTTTCTTTCCAGAAAATCTACAATTTTCAATCATGATATACAGTGGGATCATATATCAATGTTGTGCTATAACGTGATAACACAGCATTAGAGTGTGTTATTGAATGTATAGCATAGGCCCTTAACAAAGCAAAACAAGGAAAGTCTGTTGTTGGCCAGTTTAATTGCTGGTTATAGGTAAGTTTCAGTGTGAGTTATTAGGCTATCTGTTATCATCAAATTGAAATATCACTGCCATGGTTAAAAGCCACTCATTTAGAAAAGTGGTTCAACTTTTGTTTGAGAGGGGTCATTAATACTACTAATTAATGGTCTTGCCAAAAATTCTATTTGGCCAAATATGTATTAAAAGTAGTAATTTCAAATATGGGGAATATTAATTGGCAGGTTTTAATAAAAGAGTGTGTATAGGAGGTTTAAGGTTTAATTACTACAGGGGTGTTGATATATATGTTTTGGACAATGTGGTGGACAGTAGATGTAGTGGTTATGCAGCAAATACATGCATGCATGGTAATACTGTAAATCTAGAGCAGTGACTTTGCTGTTAAGTGATTTATGAACAAATTGACCGGAGACATAAAAGAGTTAAAAGTCTGATTTATGTAATGGGATAGTGGTTAGGGCCTCTTGAAATCTTGAAGTTAAAGGTCAAAAGGACAAGCCGAGCAAACTGAAGTCATGCTTTCATAATAAAACAGACTGCCCATGAAAGTCACTTCCTTTAAATGACTTATTTGTCAGAGTGAGTGACTTCCATTTTACTTTGTATAAGTTATTCGTATGATTACATCACAGTTTAACAGTCATCCTGGGTGATATTATAGGTTTTAGTTATTTATGAAGTATCATTCAAATTTAAGGGGACCAGTTTCTCTGCTCTCCATACCCACCATCATGATGAGCCGCGGTGTCTGAGGGCGTCCCGCTTCGGTTCATCCGTGAGGTTGATCAGCCTTTCCTCCAGGAGCGACTCCGGATAGAAATGAATTCCATTACTTCTTCACTTGTGCGACAAAGAACAGTCAAATCCAAAAGAAGTAGCAGAACTAGTTTTTGTAAGTAAAACCTGTAATTCAGATGGAATCATGTTTGATAAGGCTCCAGGTCAGGCCACCCGGTGAACTGAAGGACAAGTCCATCCAACAAGTTGCGACTCAGTGAATCACATGAGAAAGTTTTGGTCCAAAGGAGCGGAGCTTCAGGCAGGAGGCGCACCGCCTTGGCCCCTCACAGAGCCTCAGTTTATAGTCTGTAATAAGAGATAACAAAACAAACTTTCACATATAAATCAAATGATTTACAATATCAAGTTAAACAACGGGGTGTTGGCCCGAAATTGCAGTTATTTAGCCCAAATTTGTGTTTTTAGTAGTTATTGATGGTCATAACAAAAGAAGTGGCAAGCACTCCACCTAGTGGAGATAAATGAATTGTGCGTCCCAACTTTTATATAAAGCTTTAGGTGGAATGGGTAGAAAACACACACAGATACTGTCTACCGTCCACTCAATTAGTGTACTTAATTACAACTTTTATTTATTGATAAAGTTTAGGGTTACAAAAATTTAGAAAATTAGAATAATGACGAGAAAAGGATATTAGATAAAATAATTAAAGTCAATGCACATTTTACTGAATGAATGTACCGTAAAATTTTGAGGAACTTTATAATTATAATCCACTATATTTCAAAGGGGAAATATTGTTTTTATTCCACTACATTGTAGCTAATTAGTAACCTTGCAGATCAACATTTTTCATATGTAACAAAAGATCAGATCATAAGATATGACTTTTTTTATGTATTTAGTAAATTAGCTCCAACTCGATCACTTACAACATTAACACATCACTCTTAACTCATTACTGCATCAGTCATAATAAAACAATAATATAGTGCGTCTGTAACACTTTTTGATATTTAAATTTATTAATAATTAACCCTTTGAATGCAGGTAGTATATTTTTACATTTTTCTATTTTATGTCTAAAGGAATCGAATACTTATTCGACTACAGATAACGGTGATATGATGATAGAAAGTGCTGACTGATTTAGAACTACAATTCCCATCAAACGTGTCGCTTAATGATGACGCACATATTGAGAATTTTCAGGAAGGTTGCAAAACAGTTGCGTCAGAAACTTGCGCACTTGTACCCAGAAAGGTGAACGACGAACGTTGTTCTTTCGGTATGTAACTTTGAATTGTACCTCAAAATAGCATCAGCATGTCACTGAAAATGTATTAGTAATGTTATTAGTTAGTTTATTTTCTTAAACTAAAACGGAAATACCTGTAGTGTCTAAAAGACTGTCTTTTACGCAGATATGTCGTGCTAGCTAACGTTTGCTAGGTTACTTAAGTAGTGAAACAGTAGGATATCAAAGTTTATTTTCTTCTCGGTATTATTGTTGTATTACTTAAACCTTTTTTCCTAACTGACTTTGTGATTTCCACATAATCAAACAGACAGAAATGTGCTACCAATGTGCTACTTAGCATCATGTCGCACTCAGTTCCTGTACCTGTGTTTATCTCTCAGGCTGATACAGGATAACATACAGTGACCATGTTGGTTGCGAGGCTGACATGCCTGAGGAGTCTCCCCTTATCCGTGCTGAGGCAGGGCTCCCCGGCCCTGAGAGCACCCACCCTGAAGGCCTGTCCACCCCTGCTCAGGCCCCAGCAGGTACAGTAAAGTTAACACTGGCACACATAGCTCTCTAACAAGCTTCTTCGTAATTGTGTCAACTGTCCATTAGGATGACACCACCACTATTATTGCTACTATGAAAACAGTAGACAAGGTTAGAAGAAACTCTTATAAATCTTTGGTCACAACAGTAGAGACTGAAATACATAAACAATTACATCATGTAGTTGGCCTTGAATGTCTGGAAACAACCCCTTAAAGCATTTAATGTACATAAAGTATCAAGTCCCTAGTTCTTTTTAAATACATTCAAATGAGTCTTTCCTTGATGTGACTTGTGAGTTTATCATCCAGTCCGTTGTAATACTGTATGTATATCTTATTGATGGACAGATTAAGACTCGAAACAAAGTCTACAATTTACCTAGAAACAGAATAAATGTCAGATAATGCCTCCACTCCACTTTGTTTTGTATACAGCGCTTGCCTCAGCCAGGGTCCTGGGTGAGAGCAAAGTAACTAGAAGAAGCCTAATATTCCTCATCATCACGAAATAAGATATGTTGGCAGCAATTCAGATGTTTCAAACAGGATAGAAAAAATTGTCCAGTAACTGATGTGGTGCAACTTTGAGCCAGTCTTGTCCCATTAGTGTCCTCATTAGTGCATCTGAACTTCCCTCTCAGCGAGGTTGCTCTCAATAAGGCCGCCAGCTCAATATCTAAAATCTAAAATGATAGAAGTTCAATAAGGCACTGTAGGTCAACTGACTGATATATGTTGCTCACTCGCTGATTGTTTGTGGTTTTGATTTCTAGAAGTTGGGCATAAAATCCTAGACAGTGTTTCCCACAGGATTGGATTCTATTTGTGAAGGTAGCTGACCAGGGAGTGGTGCTTTTGAAAATAATTATTAAATAATACTGTATATAAGGTTAAACACTGCAAATATTTTAATTGCCTAGGACTTTGTGATAGATAAATAAATAACTGAACAATATATACTGCTTTACTGTCAGTCTCACCTGTTGCTTCTGCCCTGGCTGGCCCTCCCACAGCAGCATGTTGGCTGGTGTCCTCCTCTTCCTCTCCTACATGTCTCTTTTCATTAGCTAGAGCTATCCCTTCCTGACCCTCTCTTGCTGCTTTAGCTGCCACAGCAGTGCTGGTTGAATCCCGGAAATATTTGAAGCAAATTAATTGGATAGCTAATCACACTGGTCAGACTGTTCAGCTTTTCCATGTGCGTTTTCACACATTTTCACACATGGGAAATGCAAGTGTCTAGGTACTCTGTCTTGGTAATCCCTCTGGTCCAGACTGTCTTCGCACCTTTTTAGTTTTTGAAAATGTTTTTTCAAATATGCATCTGGATTGAAGGGACAAACATTCAGCATCAGTTATAGAATTGACATTAACGTTATCCACTTGCATGAGCAGTCAGTATTGACTCGTAGTTATGCTAGCTGTCTTCTCTGTGGGGAAAAGCCGACAACAATCCTTCTTTCCTTGCGTGATCATATTTAGATTCAGAGTGATTGTGACAGGCTGCCTCAAATAAATCAGTGTATGGAAAATACTACTAGTCACCTAATTAGTATTTGCTTGTTTAATGCCTGTTCTTCTTTTATCAGGGTTTTTCCTCTAAGGCTAGATTTGGTTTTCGTCGTGGGAGGACGACCAAAGACCAGCTCAAAGATGCAGCTTTTGAGCCAGCAACAGATACCGCCATTAGAAGTAAGTACTGTGACATATATGATTTACATATTCTATTACAAACTGTTACATAACTGGAGTTTTATGCTGTCAACCTTCTCAAACAGTTTTTGAGTCTAATAATAATTTAATAGTCTAATAGTTTTGCAAAGAATATAATAAACCCACATAGATGGAAACCTTCTTTTATGGTAAACAAAATGACTACTGCATATAATAAAATTTTCTTTTGAAGCACAAATTATACCTTTTACCTCGGACAGTCACATTCCTGGTCTTCAACACTTTACAAGTAATTAGGTTTATGGTATGGTACAATGGAAATTAATGTGTCTAAAACAATTTTTGTTCTGTCCCTAGTTGACAGCATGGGAAGAATGGTTCTGGCTGGAGGTGCAGCAGTTGGTCTTGGAGCTCTTTGTTACTACGGACTCGGCATGTCAAACGAAATTGGTGCCATTGAGAAAGCAGTGTGAGTAACAGCTTTTTGTACCGGCTGCTCTTTCATTTTGTTCTGAAGCACAGATCATTAGAAAGTGTCCGTGATCGACTTTCGTTTGTTTTTCTTTCCCTCTCTCTGCAGGATCTGGCCTCAGTATGTGAAGGACAGGATCCACTCCACCTACATGTACTTTGCGGGCAGTGTTGGAATGACTGCTCTGTCAGCTGTAGCTGTGAGCAGGACCCCAGCGCTTATGGGTCTGATGATGAGAGGATCCTGGCTGGTAAGCTTTATAACTCAACACACTCACACACAGATGTATTTTTGAAGTCCTCACCGTATTGCAATATTCCTTTTTTAAAATTAAATTGAAGGCTAATAAACCACAGATTTCATTTTTTATTATTTGCACTTTTCAGTTGTGGCTCAGATGTATTTGACATATTTGTGAGTTCATGGGTTATTAATTTGTTCTAAACTAGGCTATTGGAGCGACTTTTGCAGCCATGATTGGCGCTGGCATGCTGGTCAGGTCCATTTCATATGAGCACAGCCCAATGCCTAAACACCTCGCTTGGATGCTCCATGCAGGTTTGTAAGACAAGTTCCTGTGGAAATATATTACTCTGTTCTGTTGTCCCAAACAGCCTTGTTCTTTCTGTCATGTAGTTGCCTTGGTTTAACACTAGATGGCAGTCATGTAAAAGGCGCAGTGAGGAATACCTGCTGTAGCATTCAATACACCTACAGTACATCCAGACGTATGGCACAGACCTGTTTAATTGTTGTTTGCTTTGAATGCGGTATTTAGCTGTGTTTCTGTTGTATTAATTCATAAGGTGTCATGGGTGCTGTCATCGCCCCCCTTACTCTCCTGGGAGGGCCTCTGATGATGAGGGCCGCCTGGTACACAGCAGGCATTGTGGGAGGTCTGTCTACTGTGGCCATGTGTGCCCCGAGCGAGAAGTTCCTCAATATGGGTGGGCCATTGGCCGTGGGCTTTGGAGTGGTCTTCGCTTCCTCTCTTGGTTAGTATAATGCAGTTTCACTTCAGAAACCCTGTTTAGGTTTCACCACAGATAATACTTCAAGGTGTCAACACTGAAGATGGCACTGCAAATACTAGAGAATGTGAGGGTGCATCAGCACCCGCTGTGCTACCACAGTCAGTGGCCTCATTCAAATCAGTGAGGAGGCTGCATTTTTTTCATTACAGTGTTGTTGATCTGAACACCAGTAATGTCTGCACTCTATACATAGACATGTCAATATAAACAGCAGTCTTCCATTTACATTACAGTGCTTCTGTGTTGTAGTGTTTACAACTGATGACGCTGAAAGTATAGAAGTGTGAACATCTTTGCAAAATGTCACTAACTTAAATTAGACAATTTGAATACGAATTATACCATTAAACAGCTAATTATTAAACTTCAGGTACTGAGGGTTTTTTTTATGATAATGTCCTGTGCCACATGAGAAACTGCAAACCCGATGAGTAAATCACACCTAAAGTGTTATTTTTCACACAACTAATCTGGTTGATTTATGTAAATGAATTTGCTCGACGTCAGACAATAAAAGAATATTTGAGCTCTGTATGAATTAATAAGCATGAACTACAGCATTTAACTGGTGTAATATATGGAGCATACTTATTTACTAATGAAACTATACAGGCTTGACATAGATTTATGAAAGTCAAACTTGTAATATAAATGAGGAGGATTTGTTAATGTAATGGGAAATTTAACTGTGTAAAAATGTAAAGACCTTGGTAATATTTTGTATATATGTGTTTGTCAGATAGTGTAACAAGACTTTCTAATTCTTCACACAGTTGATCTAAACACTGTACCTGCCTATCTAGACTTAAACATAGGTATAGTTTGTTTTTTATTTTCATTTTAGCAAAGAAACAAAGAAAGTGGATAGTGTGCACACCTCTCCCCAGCTGGGTACAAGTGCAGGGCAAAAAACAAAAGTATATGCAAAATTCAGTGGGCAGACATGCTCTCCTTTTTCCTGTGTTTGTTTTTAATTTCTGGCTCAACAAATGTATAAGAATCTAATTTGGTTGCAGTTATGGACAGAAATCTGGCCATGACTGAGCGCCATTTCTGTCATGGCTCAATTTCTGAGCATCAAAGTGCACATGATGATCTTGTTAGACAAACCAGAACAATTTGTAGTTCAGATTTAAAAATGTATATATGTTTACTAACAATTAAGTCGCCAAAAATTGAGAACTGTGGTCACTATAGTTTCTGTAAAAACTTCAGATAGGTAGTTGATCATTCAGCTATCTACATAATTAGATAATCAGTTAGCCCTCGATGCTACCGCTTTGAATCCACCACTGTACTGAATCTGTGCTTGTCAGACTCACAGAATATGTCCCTGTCTTTTTCAGGATCAATGTTCCTGCCACCCACCTCAGCATTTGGAGCAGGCCTTTACTCAGTGGCCGTCTATGGAGGCCTGGTCCTGTTCAGCATGTTCCTTCTCTATGATACACAGAAGGTCATCAAGAGGGCAGAGACATACCCACTCTATGGTGTACAGAAATATGACCCCATCAACGCGTAAGTCACTCCAGGAAATATAAAATACATTTTAAAGGTTTTCTACACAGTAATGTTTGTGAAACGTTTGGAATTCCCTGCATCCAGGTATACGTTCTCTTAAATTATGGTCAGCTCTGCGTCTATTTTGCACTTACCAACAAATACAATCTATTTCAACTAATTCACTCGTTAATTAACAGATAACATTTTATGACCAATTAACGCAGAAAAGCAGTTAATTCTAAACGGTTCACACACTTTTTATCACCACTGTATGCACTTGCACTGAGGTGTGGATGTTAAATTCTTGATAATCTTACAGGTGTATGGGGATTTACATGGACACATTGAACATCTTCATGAGGCTTGTGATGATTCTGGCCAACGGTGGTGGTGGCAAAAGGAAGTGAACAGCGGCATTCTGACTTCAGCTTCAGTTTCACCTTTCACAGAACTGAGCAAAATCTTGTTTTATTACTAGCAGCATACACCAGATGTTATCTTTTAGTGGCTACTATTGTCTAACTAGTAAATAAACATGAGTGCTTTGCAAGTGAGCGAAGATGATTGCACTCTCTGGTGCGTGTCGCTGGTCAAAGTTAAACAGATGCACAGTTGTACATTGATTACACACAGACAAAGCTCTTATCTTGATTGTGGAAGTATCTGGTTTTCCTGAGGGGTTTTCCTGCCTCAGATGTTCTTTGTATTGTACTTTATGTTTTCTATTTATTTTCTCTTGAAAGTTCAAGAATCTGGTATATGCAGCAGAAATACCACAAATGTCAACCATAATCACAACAAATGTGATATGAATATGAATATATTATTCCAGTATACACTGATATTGCACTTCTGCGATGGATTAAAGAGGTTGGCATTAGTTCATATACATCTGGGAAAATATTTTCAAGAATGGAATCGCTCAATAAACAAGTCAAAAGGGATGTTTTTTGTCAGATGTTGCTGCTGTGTGAGCTCCCTTGTAGCTTGTAGCTGTATCTATTTTGGGAAAGTGATCTTGAAATCCAGCAGAAGATGAGATGACATGATTCCTGACATACTGTAGGTGTTTCTCACCAAAGATAGTTTGACATGTCACAGTAGGGAAATCACAGGTGTAAATAAGAAATGTAATGTCTGAATTCCATTTAGCTGCTTCAGTTTCAGGGTCCTGGTGGTGTTCATGTCGGCTCACTGGGACAGCTGAATACAACAGAGCTATTGTTAATGTTACTAGTAACACCTGTGCTTTTCCTACTATGTCAAAATTAAGTAAAAAACACTGTAAATTTAAAAAGTAAAAAATGCATTTTATAGCATTTTTCATTCATAAACATAAATGACTGATGAATTTTGAATAATTACTATCATTATCAATGAATCTGCTGATTGATTTCTCAATTAGCCCATTAATTGTTTTGTCTAGAAAATGCCAAAAATAGTGAAAAATTAATGTTATAATTTCAACAGTCAAAACCCCAATGATATTAAATTTACAAAAATATACAGAAAAACATCAAATTCTTAATTTTTACTTTAAAAAATGTCTGAAACGATCAATCATCAACTAATCGATTGATCGTTGCGGCATTAGATTTTGGGGCTCTCGAATACGAGTGTAATTCACACACAGTAATATTATCATATTGTGGCCCTATTGCCTAATAAGTTAATATCCTTTTACAGAGTCTTGGTTCTTATTATTTCCTCTTAAATCAATTATCAAACTTGTTTTCTTGTCAGTCATTTATTTTCTTAGAAAGTCACATTATGGACATTTGTAATAATAATATTACCAAATATTCATACATTTGCATTGATTCTGTTTGAACATCAAATATAACTTAGTTATAAACTTAGTTTGATGTGATATGATATAATAGACTATTACAACAATAGAATAATCTGTTCTGTTTGTTGAAAAACTTCTAATGGTAACAATAATTACATTTTAGGTGCATAATATAAGAAATGTATTGGTGACACCGATGGATGTTTGAAATAAGTTCAGTGACCTGCAAAACTAACCACCAGCACTCAAACAACTAGAGCAGCAGCTAAGATTAATAGTGAGCGGAGCCTATAATCAGTGTGAGAAAATGTTGTACAGTTTTGCCCACAACCTGTCGCTGCTTCTAAATAATTAAAACCTTGTGTATTTTATCATTTGTCATCTACACCAGACTGAGGGACCAGCGGGGGTCCACCTTGTATTTGCCTATAAACAGTCAGTGTGTAGCAGCAGATGACAAAGGCTTAGCGTAGTAATCCTCTTGTCCACCATCTGGCCGCTCCTCTAAAATTAAACCTCCAAACCAGGGCACTTGCAACAGATGCTAACATCTGTAAATATGCAGGTGCTTCATTAAAGCACATACACGTGGAGCACACAGCTGCCAGGCAGCGTTTAAATCTCTTAGATCATGCTCATGTTTAGGATCGTTATGATTCATATAAACTGTGAATTTAAAAACCTTGCAGATGGGAGGGATAAAAAGGGCAATAATGGATGATATTGGGGGAAAGCCTCAGCATGCGGAGAGCTGCCATTACTGGGGATAAACATTGCCCTCTGTCAGTCATTTTCAGATTGATGACCAATATTTGGTTAGGGTCCAGGGTTTTTACTGCTTAACGAAAGCTTGAGTCAGTGTGTGTGTTATAGTTTGACCATTTTTACCCACAATACCTTAAGAACTCAAAGCACTTTGTCTTATGATCGTACAGAGATGCACTGTAGGTTGTTTTCATATCAGACTAAACCTTTCACTGTGCAGTGTTTCAGCTCAATTTTAGATTTTGGTAATGTCAGTCCACCACTTTGGTCCACCCTGAAATATCTTAACCACTACTGGAGATATTGCCTTCAGAGTTTGCACAGACAATCATGTTCCCCAGAGGATGAATCCTCATAACTTTGGTGATCCCCTGACTTCTCCTCTAGCGCCACCATGAGGTTTATGGCTCTTAGTGAAATGTTTCCACAGCTATAGGATGGATTGCCTTCAATCCCCTGAACTAAACTCTAGCACCATCACCAGGTCAAAATACTTTGGTTTATGGCTGAATACTTGACATTTCCCCCAGCCTAAAGCATATGTTGTGTTTAGCGCTAACTAGCAAATATTAGCATGAAAAGTATTTCATGTATTTAAGTTAATTTATTTAAAATAAATTTACATTGTTTACACAGTTAACTATTTTCATACTTATGTTGATTATTAGTGTAAATATTTACATCAGCAACTAATGATTAGCTGAAGCTGCTTCAGAAAGTTTATTATCTCTCTGTTTTTTTCTCATTAAGTGTGAGTGATCCAACCACCGCGACCACCCACAGTTACACACACTAAACGAACATGATAAACATTAAATATCAGTATGTTAGCATGCTAAAGCTGGCATTTAGCTCAAAGCACTGCCGTGCCTAAGTGCAACCAAGTGCAAAATAATTCAGTAGATTATTTCGGTGCATTTTTGAGGTGCTTGTCCTTTACTTGAGTATTTCTGTTTAATGCTACTTTATATTTAGTAAATATAGGCCCTCTACTTTAAAAATAATCTAGTTACATTACATTTATCTGGAAGCCATAGTAAATAGTTGCTTTACAGATTCAGAAAAAAACTTCTAAACATCTTTACATTTTTGATTTTGAGTAACATCTAATTCTTGTCTTCACTGTCAAATTCCAGTATAAACACAGCAGTCCACGGTTTCTTTTGTTTATTTTCATGAACAGAGCAGATTTATCATTGGCTGCCAACCAGTCAGAGGTGAGGGTGTCACTGAACATCAGACACTATTTTTATACCTGTGAATACAAGGAGAGCAAAAGTCTGCACCTCGAAGTGAGTAAGTCAATCAAGTGAACTAACCTCGCCAGCGAACGTGCGCTCACATGACAACTGCTGAAAAACAAGAAGGTGCAAAAACCCCCCAAGGGCAAAGTGGAAATTGTGTTCAAAAATAAAGAATATGACGTTTCAGGGTTTTGATCGTCATCAGATACGTGGAGGGTTGCAAGATCCAAACGTCACACACGTCTTTTTCTTTTTTTTTCTTTTCTTTTTTTTATAATCAGATCAGCTGTTTATTTTTGGGCTGTACCCCCGAATTGAGCTCAGCTTTTTGGTTTTCACCGGCTTAATCTGCAAATGATTCACACCAGAAGGACGTCTTACAGTTTTAGACTTGTGCCTAGTGGCAAACATTGTGTGCAACATGACATACGAACATTAAAACTGAACTGAAAATGTAAAGTAGGCTTGCAGCTCAAGATTTAAAATCAAACAACACACCCTCATGGGGCCATGTTGTGTGTCTTGAGGCGCAGTGATTGACAGGTCACTGGGTCTCCTGGGGAAAGTGGACTGCAAAGGCCAAAGAAAGCCTCTTGGCTGTAAGTGCATCAGAGATCCACAAGTACAGCTCAGGCTTGTGTTGGTCAGTGAGCTGCCAAGGAGAGCAGGAAGCTTAGGCCAGTGGGACTTACTACATGTGACTAATGAGTTTGCTGAAGCCCTTTAAAACAGCAGTGGAAGGAGCCAAATGTGCCATGTGTCTCTGCAAATCAACAAAGAAACAAATGTGCAGCGCGCGACTAGAAAGGATGATAAACTTGAGTACATTGGATATAATACTGACAGCATCATAGATTTCAAACGCTTCATTGTAAGTCTAAAGAAGCATAGTATGTCACAAAGTCTCTGATTTCACAGTAATCATGGATGCAAGTGCCCCATGTGTACATTGTCACATGTGCAGAGGTGTGATGATCACGCCGCATTGTGTGAAACCTCAACTCTCTTCCCTTGATGTGTAGTTTTTTCCAGGAGAAATCGGAGTGAGAGCAGCCTGGTGGAAGAAGATGTCTGCGGAGGGAAGGGATGCGTCACTGGATTAGTGCCTGAGAATCTTGTCCCAGCCTCTTCCTCCTGAGCTGCTGAGACGCCTCCAGAAAGGGCACGACACTCGCTGCTCGCTTTCCCTCCACTAAGCCTTCCACATGAGCCAGCCAAGCCTTACCTCCCCTCCAGGATGAAGAAAGAAAAGAAAACGCATGCTTTGCTGTTTCTCCTCCTGCTTCAATTCACCTTGGGTAGGCTTTTTTTTTTCTTTCTTTTTCTCATCTTTGTTTGTGCTAAAGACTTCTTGCCTTGCTCTTATCTGGTTAATCCCCTAACACACTGGGGGCTTGTACATCTTAGTGTAGACTGCTCTTGCTGCTTGTACTTCATATTTAAATGTGTGGTTATGTGTTTGTTTGTATTTTGATAGTAGTAACTTAAATACAAATCTGTTTATAATCATGCCCTTCCTCCTCCTCCTCGTCCTCCTCCTCCCTGCTTTCGGTTCCTGTCCTTTTTAGCAAGTGAGTGCAACAGTTATCACTTAACTACATAAGCATTTCCCTTAGAACAAAGTATAGATACATCTATGTGACTTGTGTGACATTTGTATAGCATATGGATCGGCTTGCTAATTTCTATTTTACTGGAATAACTTGCGGCATGTTTATTTGTTTTTCCTTAAAGGGCAATCAGACTATGCTCCATATTTTTATGATAATGGACCCAGCAGTACAAATGGGAATATGGCCCTGTTCAGCATCTCCGAGGACACACCAGTTGGTAGGTCTCACATGCAAGTCTGATGATGACTTTAACAGTCACTGGTCTTTTTAATTTCATTGTGAGATGATGTTCAGTGTAATTTAAAGGTGTTTATGTCACAGCTATGAGGCTCCAGTTAATCACTGTAATACCTTTTGGATTGTGACGTACGTCAAGACCTACGGGAAGAAAACAAATGGGCGGTGGCTCATCATGACCTGATTATCAAATGTGTCATTTACACTGAATAAGAAAACACAGAGAAACTAGAATTAAATTAAACAAAAGCGTTTGCACCTTCGCTGCATGATTTTAGTGGATGTAGAAATGTCATGTTTAGGCTGCACTGATTCTCTGTTTCTGTCTGTCATTTGTTTCCACATAGGTACACAGATATACATCCTGAATGGCACAGATCCAGAGGGGGACCCGGTACGATATGGTCTGACTTTTGAAAAGGGCTCCAAAGAATATTTTAGGGTGGAACCCAAATCTGGAAACGTGACTCTAATTCAGGAGCTCGACAGAGAGGTGAGCCTTTTAAAGAGACTCTTGTTTTGAAAGTCTGTCACCACTGTGGCTCAGCGTGACATTTACCTTTTTCTTTGTAGAAACAAGGTGAAATCTCAGTGCTGGTGAGCATCACAGATGGAAGAAATAAAGTAAGTTCTTAGTATTTATGTGATACGTTTTTGTTCATACTGACTTGTGAATGAATCACACCATTTCTACTTTCATAACCTCCAGCCCATCATGTTTTTACAGTTGTGGCTATAACATTATAATAGTGAATTAAAACAAAATAAATAGATCTAAACATGTACATATACAATATCTGCTCCTGCAAAATATGTGCTGTGACAGAATGGAAACAAACAGCAGGAAACTTACTATGACTACAATGTGGACTTGAGAAATGAATAAATATATAGAATGAGCTTTTTGCGATCACTTCCAGTTAATTATTTGTTGTAGTTATTTTTATTTGTGGTTGAGAGTTTGTGTTTTTGTTGCTGCTTTCAGGTTGTTGAAACAGTGAGAGTGTTTGTCACAGACGCCAACGATGAACCACCTGAATTTCAAAACCTGCCTTTCATCATTGATATCCCAGAGGTACAGTTTATCAAGCAAATACACCTTATATAATATAAGTGATTCAATGAAGTCCTTGTTCTAAATCTTACAGCTGAGTCAAAAAATAATAATAATAATTGAGAATAAAGTGGGTTTCAGGGTTATAAAATATTTTGTCTCTTTATCAGGACACTACTTCGGGAAGTAGCATCTACAGAGTCCAAGCCGTGGATAAGGATATGGGCTCAGGAGGCAGCGTCTCATATTATCTACAGGTAACTTTACAGCTTCATTGTTATGCAGATGATGCACAGCTGTAACCCTGGCATCTCTAAAGCCTCTTAGTGAAATTGAGGGCTGGATGAAAACTTTTTTTGAAACTGAAGTAAAACAAGGTTACCCAAGGCTGTTTTTCCAAGGTTACCACTAAACCGTAGGAGCACATTGGATGATTCATGTTGATTTTTTTAAGCACTAAATCCTGGTGTTTATTTTGACTCTAAATTTGTTTTTCAAACTCAGGTGAAAAGATTTATCCACATGTTTCTGGTTGAACTTTGCAACAAAGAAAATGTAATTCATACTTTTATTTTGTCTCACTCAGTCTACTGCATCTATCTTTACTCTGGCATTAAGCTAAAAAAAAAAAGAAGCTCTCTCCAAAATGCAGCAGCTAGCCTTTTACAGCAACATGTGCATGGAAAAGTGACCTAAAGTAACCTAGGCTAAAACAGTTACAGCTATTTTTGGTATTTGCACGTGACTTCCAGTTAAATTCAGGCTCATTTGTAAGATTTTACTAAGCACACATAGAGCTGTTAATAGCTTGGCTTCAGCCTATACCTCTGGACCTCTTAACTCCTGGACCCTGGACTTCACCCTGAAGTCTGCCAACAAGTTGATCCTCTCAGTTCCCAAAACCTTATTTAATAGCATGAGCGAGCATTTCTTATTTTTTTTATTTTTTTTAGTTTCTATTTTCATCTTTTTACTCTTTTGCATTTACTTTTTATTGGTGCTCTTTAATGTTTAGATTCAATTTCCACTTTGTAATCCATTCTTTAAAAAGCGTGTTATTTTTATTATTACAACTGCACCATTGTTATCCTCATGGTGATACTGTTAACTGGCTTGGTGTGGCCCTAACATGGAGGGTGTAAGACCAGAGGTCGAGCTGACATCATGAGAGCTGTGCCGCCATGTGGAGGAAGGAAAAGGGCATTTGAGTGATGGGACAGTGTTTGTAGGGGAAAGATTAATCTCATACCAGAGAGCAGTCTGAAAATGGTGTTACTTTAGTGGATTAAATTTCAATTACATTTGAGCAAGGCATTGAAGGCTTAATAACGGCTTAGGTTTGGTCCGGGCCAACAGCTGACAGCACAGTACTTGTAGCTGTCCATGTGTTAACTATGTGACAAAACTATCCTGATGGAAGAGTGTTGAAAAGTGATTAGAAATTGGCTTGGTTGCACTCGATGGCTGACTTCAAGCGAGACTGAAACACGTGTCTGCTGTTATCCTGTCAGACCTCCCCATTCGCCAAGTTCACCATCGATGGGCACAGCGGGATCCTTAGAGTCAAACCAGGCGAGACTCTGGACTACGAGACCACGCCAACACACTTTGTGACGGTGGTCGCAAAGGTGAGAGGTCGCTGTTAAACACACATTCACCCTGTGAGCAACAGGTTTCAGATTCATCCATCTTATCAACATTCAAGTCATATATTTTTGCCATTTGTTGCATTTGATTACATTACTTTTTGGGAGTTAACACAGCTTGATGCCGAGACCTAAACTGGGGCGTTAATCAAATATTTGCTAAAGAAAATGACTAAAGTTTTTGAATAACCCCCAACAACCTTTCTCTTATTCTGGTGGTTGTCAAATTAAAATCACTTGGAAACTGGAAGGTTTTTAATGGTGTGAGATCTACTTCTGCACATGAAACAAGGCAAAACAAAGCAGCGCAGGAACCTGGAGTCCTGATGGTGTTGCTCCCAGTGGGACTAAACTGAAGTGTACCTCAGCTCTGTGTGTCTGTAGACTAATGTTCTGTTGATATAGCCACTTAAATACCTGTCTTTAATGACGCTGGGTAAATAGCATCAGATACTCAGACATTAAAACCATGATAATATATAAGTATAAAATTTTTGGTCTAATCGTTTCCATCAATTCAGTCAGTCAGTTGAACTCACTAATGGTTAAACTGAGAGAAGACATTACTGCGTTATATCCACACAGAGAACGGTCTCTGCATCTTTCGCACTCACTGAAGCATGAAAGCATCATTAACATAGCCATGCAAATGGAATTACAGATTTCAGTGTTTCCAATTATATTGAAATTGAGGATGAGGAGATTTACATCCCATTTTAAAGACAGTGAAGCATCCTACCAACGTGCCTGATAAAATCTTACCAAACCATTTTGAAAATAAACATATGTACTGCCAATATTTCATTTTATTATGTGATGTTATTTGACTGGTTTATAGAAACCAAACTTCTCAGTTTCAAGCTAAGGCATTTGGTTTCTCCAAGCCAGTGGAAACCTTTAATCTTAGCAATTTTAATTTCTCCAAACATTTAGTTTGGTTAAAAACAGCTTTTGGTTAAATTAGATATTGTCTTTAAAAAGAACTTCTGGTAGCAGATGCATATCACGGGCCTGCCCACACAAAGATCGCATCATTTCAAATGTAAAATGAAAATGTCCATAACCACATCTTTGTTATTTTATCATACATTTCTTTGGACAGAAGAATCAACTAAATGTGTAGATAATGATTAATTGTACATTTTTCTTCTCAGGATGGAGGAGGAAAGTACAAGGGGAAACATCAGGTGTTGACCTCCACAGCCACTGTAACAGTTAATGTAATTGATGCCCAAGACATGCCTCCATCCTTCGTGGGAACCCCTTACTTTGGCTACGTCTACGAAGTCTCAGTTCCTGTAAGTCCTCCTCTGATTCTCTACACAACATTACGGCGATCAGGGCATTGATTTTGTTTACAAAGAGTTTTTTTTTCTTCTTTTCCCAGGGTTCTGAAATATTCACTGTCTATGCTAAAGACGGAGATCAAGGCAATCCTAACCCCATACATTATTCCATTATGAATGGTAAGAAACATAGATCAAGAGATGAATTCCAGTGTGAGCTGCCTTGTGTACTGTGTTTGTTGTTTGTCACATTTACCACTTCTGTCCTCACCTTTCAGGTAGTGATGGTGTCTTTGATATAAATAATACCAGTGGATGCATCACCCTGACAACGTATCCATCTCTGCTGAAAAACGAATTATATGAAATTATAGTCAAGGTAATGTTTAATTCATCATCTCATATAAGGTGATTTGCTTTTGCCGCTGAATTTGTTGATGGGCGTAACTTTTAACCCCAGGCATCTGAGGTCGGACCAAACGAACAGCTGTCTGATGACTACGACATCACCACGGTGACAGTCCGGGTGGTGGATCTCAACAACCACCCTCCGACCTTTTACGGAGAAAATGGACCACAGAGCAAGTTCGAGGTCACCATGTACGAGCATCCACCTGCAGGGGAGATCCTCCGGGGCTTTAAGATCACCGTCAATGACTCCGATCAGGTAGCTTTATTCCCACATTCTCACTTTAGATGTACAGTGATGTGCTGGACAAAAGCTGGTTTTCGAATAATTTTCTACTGAATGCTGCCTTGTCATGTTGAGTTTGCTCCTCTACTGACAGATCCACTAATACCTCTGGGTACAATGTTGCATAAATATCTGCCCAATAGCCTCAAAGTATGAGCACTTATACAACACCATTTAAAAATGTTCATAAAATCTGTTCATTAATTCAAGATGAAAATGTTATTCATGATGCCTTGTTTGTTTTGTTGTGCAGGGAGCAAACGCTAAATTTAAACTGAGGCTTGTGGGGCCGAGCCGCGTGCTGCGAGTGGTTCCCCAGACGGTCCTCAATGAAGCACAGGTGACCATCATTGTGGAGGACACATCTGGCATCGACTATGAAAAGGGAGCAACCCTTTCTTTTAAGGTTAGCCTTACTTACCTAACACTGATAGCAATATTTCACGATGAATTAAATGTCTTGTTTTCTCTGGTCAACAGCCCAAAATCCAGAGATATTTGTTGTTGAGAAAAATTGTTGTTGATAAATTTTGGCTATGCTCAAGGGATGGCGAAGGTCTGTCTGTCCGTCACTTTGGTCCAGACTAAAATATCTCCTATATCCTTCCTCTGGTGCCACCAGCAGGTTGAAATTTGCAAATTTGCAATTTCCATAATGAAATGTATGAGCTGTTACTTTGATACTTTGATTGATGACCAGTTAGTTTAAAAATTAATAACATTACCATAAGTCTCAGCAGTACTACTTTGCATGTTAGCAAATGTTAACAAATCTATTCATTTCTCATGTAATAACAACCCTCTGGCCAGTTATTACATTTTCTTTTATTTTGCCATGACAAGTAAATATTAAAAACTAATTCTGATATCTAACAGTTTCTTAACAATGAGCATTACTGCCCCACAGAGCCACTTCTGTGGCTGTTTGTCAATAAACCAATCAGTTTATCAACTAAACGTTTGAGAACTAATTTAACCACACTTTGCATGTGTCTGTCTGCAGCTGCTGGCAGTGGAGATCGACACTCCTGAGCGCTTCAGTGCGACAGCTGACATAGTCATCAACCTGCTGGACACAAACGACAACATCCCCAAATTCACATCCGATTATTACATCGCCAGGGTCCCTGAGAACTCTCCTGGAGGCTCCAGCGTTGCGACTGTAACGGTAAGTCAATCACGATTAAACTCTGGTCTGACCTAACCAAAGTGATTATATAATCCATCAATCCTCCAATGAATGCATATTACTCGGTGCAGTTCTTTAGGTGAAAGCAAGGTTGTCACCAGGGGGGGAAAAAAAACAGTCAGTGGTCCCTGGCTTTGTTTTTGTTGTTCCTCATTATGAAATCCATGTCTGCATGTGACATCCTGGCATGTGCTTTCTGTTATACCTCAGGTGGGGAGTATTATTAATAGAAATATTGGCACATTTGTCTCATCGTTTCTATTCCACTGTAGCTATGTATCCTGCAGCCAGGCAATATGTCCAAGCTATGCAACGTGGAATAAAAAGCTTAATTTTGCCCCAAGGTTAATCATGCTGACCTACGAGTCCATCCCCACTCACAACAGGAAGAGACTTATAGCCTGCCCCACCCACTCTACATGAGCTTAAGACCCTAGCTGGTTGTCCTCAATCAGCTCCAGTAAAAAAACATCTAAACACCTTCACTTAGCTTGTGTGTGTAACTATACTTAATTAAATTGATCAGATTGGTAAATATTCTTGTTTACAGAGTGTACCTTTTTCATACTTTATTGTAAGAGCTATAAGTACTCATCTTCTAATCTCTGTCCTTCCAGGCAAATGATCCAGATTCGGGGCCTTGGGGTGAAGTCAAATACACGATTTATGGATCAGGATCAGATTTGTAAGTACAAACCTTTCACTCCTGCCAGTTTAGGTTTGCTCTGATCAGATACTTAACTCTTGCATTTCCACAAACACATTTCATAGAGTGACAAGTTATTTTTATGGTACAACTCGAGGCTGCTCAGAGGTTTCGGGGTGTTTGGTAAACTCAGTCAACAGGCCACTAGTCTTGATTCTCTTTGATCGAAGAGGTTAGCAGGAAACCAGTTTGATTGGCCCCTCTGCTGCACAAACAGCCCGCTCTAAAATGGCTGCAAGATGCTGGCTAATCTCCTAATTGGATTGGAGAGTTAAAAATAGACAGCCTGGCCCGTCTCACATAGGGAGAGCCAATTAACATGCAATGTGACAGCTGGAGCCACAGAAACGGCAGCTTTGAAAAGCAAGGCAGCGTGCAGTGAAGGAAAAGTGAGAATTTATGCTAGTCTGCAGGCAGCGACCTGAGTTAATTGTGCGAAAGTTATCAGTTTCAAGGCAACTTGTGAATTTTCACAGTGAAAAACAAGATGGAGAAGACGGCTGAATAAAATGGCAGTAAGCCCAATGATGAACAAGCAAGCACAAACCTACACGCATGCTGTATAACTCTTTAAATTTGTTATTTTTGCAGCCCTTCGTGTGAAATACTTACATTATTATAAAACGTTTGAAGTTGTTCTGAAGGCAGAACATTTTGTTTGATAAAAAATGTTGAACAATCTTGGTGAACATCGGTGCAGTCTATCACATGGCAGGGCGTGTATTGCTGCCTGCCACAATGTCTGTTTTTAATTCAACCACTGGGAAGTCAGAAAATCTCAAATTCTATGCATAAGTTCTTTGAAAGAAAAAAATAGAAATGTCAAAATTTCCATGAGAACTGGCAAAATGTTATTAGAGAATAATGTACAGTATAAAAAAACAAATTAAAAACCCTTCAAATCCAAATAGATCAGAATATTTTCTTTACTGAATCTGGTGAGAATTGGATAAAAACAAAAAAATGTCTTTAAGAAAGGGATCCAGAAAGAATGTCAAAAGGTTTTTGCCTTTGCATCTCATTTAATGTGACTCAAACAAAAAGTTCAGATGCAACCAAATATTATTAACATTTACTTTGCTGGCCTATTATAACATTTTGTAAAATCTTACTGGACTCTCTTCAGTAGTTACTGAGTTATCTGACAAATACAGCAAAAAAACAAAAAACAAAAACAGAAATCTACCTGAAATTGTAGATTTACAAAACTGATAAGACAAAACTGTGGCTACCCGGAAAAATTCATAAAACTAGAGGTTAATATGAATCAACAGACAAACAAACAAATAACATGATTGGCTTTACTGATCCTCAGGGAGGAAAGTCACATGTTACAGTGGCAAAAAAAGGGATAGGAAATATGAAAAAGAAACAAATATTTAAAAACAAATAATGAATTATTAATAAATTGTATACATCATCATCACCATCAATATATTTTTACAACATGCTCCCTGTGATAAAGGACAGAAATCTGCTTTTTAGAGTGAACTATTAAGGGAGTGAGTCATGTAGAGATTCACAGTACGTGACATAGTGTAAAAATCACTTGCGTCGTGAATTAAGATGCCTATCTTAGAAACACTTGGTTCAGTGGGATGTGTTTAACACAGAATGGACAGCTGTGGTTGTGACTCATACACCGTCTGAACCGTTCTGAACCTGCAGGTTTGCCATCCACCCGTCATCAGGCGTCATCTCCACGCAGCCCTGGACCAGCCTGGACGCAGAGGTCAGGTCTAAATACAACTTCTACGTCAAGGCTGAGGATTCGGAGGGGAAGTACAGCTTGGCCGAAGTCTTCGTCACTGTCCTCGACATGAATGACCACTCTCCAGAATTTGATGACAAACTCCTGGAGAAGACCATGATCATTGGCATACCTGTCAGAGTAGAGGTACATACATGATGCTGCAACATTCTTGCATTGTACTGAAAATACATTTCAAAATCAAAAGGTAAAAACACTCGCTGTTTGTGATCACACATTTAGAGATCATAGTATGGAAGTCCAGGACTGCCAATATTAAAAAGCAATTATCTTTACTGTAGTTTAATTTGATCCACCATCCTGATGTTGTAAAATCTCGCTTAGCAACTGAGCTTCATTCAAAACTGAATGAAGTCATATATTATAAATATTAGACTTTCAATTAATAAATTGACTTAATATCCAGTATGCAGGCTTTTGACTGAAATATTCAACCAACAATTTTGTGTTATTCTGCTTCTTTCTACAGGCCGTAGATGACGACGCAGAGTCTCCAAACAACGTCATTCAGTACTCCATCATGACAGCCGATCCTGACAATGCATTTGATATCAACGCTGACACCGGGGAGATCAAGCTGAAGCCATACATCAAGTCCATGGAGATTGTGCAGAACATCACCAAGCAGAAGGACTGCAAGTGGTCTCTGGTGGTCCAGGCCAGGGACAGGGGCTCTCCTTCTTTCAGCACAACAGCCGTGGTCAACATCGACATCACCGAGGCGGTAAGACCCGCTCTGACTCGCAGCATGCTTGCAGCGCTTTCTATTCCAAGCCTGAGCTATAGATTCAAGCAGTTTAAGAGAGGATAAATGACATTGTTGTCATGCTATGCAACTGCTAATTTAGCATCCTTGTTTCAGCCGGCCACATTTCATTTGCCTCATGTCCTCATTAACATGAACCCATATTTTTTCTAATACTTCATGTTTTCACTATGTATTCATCCTCTCACTCTTCATGACATGACTCAGTGTTTTTGGTTTTGTTTCTGTGTTGTGTATCGTGCTTTTCAGATCAAAGGTCGAATTGTTTCATACTTCATGGGCCTCAGCAAGCGTCCGCTGACTGTTTTTGGAATTTGTCTCAGCCTTGTCACTTCCCTCATTTTACTAACAATCTGCATATCCACAATCCTGTACTGTAATGCAGTGAAAAAGTCACGAATCAACCCTGAGAGTAACTACATTAAAGTGATCCGCAGAGTCAAGTGAGAAATAACTGATACCTGTACCGCTATTCATTCATAACCCTCAAAAACATTTTATTTTTTTTACTGGTTTTACTTATGTCTGTAAAAGAGTACTGGAGCACATCATATGACAATAAGATATTTTCTTTTCTATTTTCCATATTTTTATCCGTTTTATTTTTTTAAATTGGAAAATGTTATAAATGATATATATTTCTCATAATATAGTATGGATTTTTACGATACCATCATCCTATCATTCACTATTTAAAATACTTGCTTTTTTTTAGAGCATGACTCAGAATATTTGTGACTAAGATGGAGCCTTTTACTTGGGATTTAAACCTGGATTTGCTCACTTAATCTCTATTTTTCTCACACAAACATGCACTTCAGTCCGTTTTGGTCTCATGAACTCATCATTCTTCTTCAGCCCTCATCAGTCACATGCCAAAGACAAATCCTAATGCACTGCACTGCCAGACGCATTCCCGACAACTAGTGTTGTGCTTAGTTCTTAGCTTCGCACCAGCAGTCCTGTACTGTGGGACAGAGGAAGACTGAGGGTGACTGAGTGCAAGTGCGGAAGTGTTACATTGTCAGTAGACATGTTGTTTGGGCCTCCTCTGTCAGTGCTTTGCTCATCCATCTCTCATGCTTGCATGCTTCAGGCAAATGTTACGTTAACGCTTTGATTCAGTCCATTGGACTTGATTTAAACAATTTTATTTGTGCTCTTTTACAGACTCCTCTCAAGGGGCCTATGGCGGCCTTTTTAATGAAAAGTAGAGACAACCCAATGAAAGCTCTAGGCATGGTCACTGTTATCATTAGTACGTTGGTAGGGGTGACTGTTTTGATCTCTACGGCTATGTACATGCGCAACTCAAAGTCCAACAGGATCATGCCGGCACGTCGCATCATCAGGAGGCGACCCAGGGACCAGCAGCCCTGGACCTTCAAGATGCCCAATATCACATTCAACCACCCTGCAGACAAGTTCACCATCGGTGACCCAGAGAGAAGCCCCCACCGGAACACCGGCAACCCCCGGCCGAAGCCTCCACCCCCCAGTGCACCTTCTCTTCCCCCTCCACCTCCATCTAACACACGGCCCAGTGAGAGGCCCCGGGCTGTCCCAACAATATCTGGCGCGCTGGCTTCCAAAGGTTCAAAGAAAGCTAAATCTAGTCGCCGCAAAGAGGGAAATATAAGCTCTGCTTTAGTGTCGGAGCTTAAGATGAAGCTGGAGCAGAAAATCATCGAGAGCAACCAAGGTTATTATTAACACAAACATCTTGTTTAAGGTTGTCCAGTCCATTCTTTGACGACTCTACTGCTCTTAGCTCATCTATTGTCGCAGAGTTCTCATCTGAACCTCGTGATGATCTGGTAGGGTGGGCCTACCTTTAGGTTATTAATGGGTAAACAGTATAAGGGTACAACAGGAAGGCTTTCAGGTGTTTATGTCTTAACGTGAGATGTTAAGCAAATGGGATTCACTGCTGACCTGGCTTAGGGAAAGAGAGGCGAGAGCTGGAGTCTGTCGGTGGTGCAGTAGGTAATTCACCACACTGCCATCTTGAGGAGGATTACATCATCTGAACACTAAGAAGCAACCACTGTAAATTGCCCAGAGAAAGGGAGAGAGAGAGAGGATTACAAAGATTTACTGTGTATACATAAGTTGCATAACTTCCTGAAAAGCATAATATTCCAAAACTCTGTGGTGTTTTCAACACTGAATTAGGATTTCACTCAATAAATCCTAAAAAAAAAAACCAAACATGTGCAGCTGAATGACACAGTCAGGAAGAACACCACTGCTTATTATAAAGTGCTAAAGGACCTGTGTGTTAATATTTTTACTGTGTTACATCAGCCGCTTGAAAGCTGAGAAGTTGCTCTTTTGTATGATTACAATGTGCCACTGTAGGTTTTCACAGTAACACAAGCTGAGTTGCTTTTATTTATTTGACTGTGATTCTAGAAAAATGCTTTTATATAAATTGACATGGGTCCAATTTAAATGTACAGCGCTGTATTATTTTCTTTATTTTGAATACACATACTGTATATGACAAGATATGTACATTTCCCAGTTGTATCTTGCAGCAGTAAATAACACAAAATACAAACGAAACCATCTAACTCCACTCATGGGATACTGTTGGTAAAAATGAGTCGTCTGCTTGAGATTTTCAAGCTCAGATTGCTATGTATATAACTTGCTTGGACATTTCCTTTATAGATATACATGTTTATATGTAGAATCTGTGTCGAACATTTAGGGTCCACATGCAGTTACTTTCCATGTTACGCTCCAATGCCTTCAAATGTAGGCACATACAGTTTAATCTCTGTAATAAATATCTTGTATCTGACTATATCTTAACTTATAACTATCTTAAATAAGTTGAGATAAACTATATATCTTAACTGTAAATTACAATTGCCTCGTCCTATAAAGTAACTTATTTGTACCGTCTTTGTACTGTCTTGATTTTGAATAAATATTTGAAAATAAATTGGTCCATGCTTCTTTTTGTCCACGGGTTAGATTTGTTATAATAGTTTTGTTTAGAACACTTAATTTTAAGTTTATATTAGTTTAGTTTGATAAAGTTTTCTGTGGAGAAGAATGTAATGTTTTCAGTGTAAACAACATGGTAAATCAAAGGCAACAAATATTAATAAATAATAATATATGTAAACTCTATATTAATTTGAAATGCCAATATGCTAAACTGCAAACCAGTGCTGGAAAGTAACTAAGTAGATTTACTCAAGTACTGTACATAAGTACAATTTTTACTTTAGTTAAGGTTACTTTATACTCCACTACATTTGAGAAGGAAATATTGTACATTTAAATGCCAATTAAGATTTTACACAAATCCATATGTTTAACAATCTTATGAAATTCAGTGTTTTATTAAAGATTACACCGGTGGTTCCCAGCATTTTTGGCTGGTGACTTTTTAAGAGAAAAGCCTCAAAGACGGGTAGAATTATCACAACAAAACTATCTCTTGAACCTTAGGAGGGGCCCGATCCTTAGGTTTGGAAACACTGGACAAAACTGCATAACTGCATATAAAGAGGTAAAAACTGGATCCACTGCAAACAGCAACAGCAGTAAAATGCTGCTTATACATTGATGCATCAGTATTAACAATCTCATGTCAGGTATAATTTTATTTAGTCACAGGGGCCTGTTCTTTTACTTTTGACACTTAAAGTACATTTAGCTGTTAATACAGTTGTACATTGACGTAAGTGATTGTAAATGTAGGACTTGTAATTGCAATGGAGTATATTATTAGTTGTATTGGTACTTAAGCTAAGGATCAGAGTACCTCTTTCAACACTGCTCAAAATATTATATAGTGTAGAAAAGATCTTTATATTTCATTTTATATTTGTATATTTTACATTATCATATATAGCAATAATTAACGTCTGTTCATTTATCGGTAAAAAAATGTTAAAGTATGTATATATATATATAAATAAAACATAATTGATGCAGTGATGCCATTGTGGGTATGAATTGACTAAACATCATATACGTAACAAAACTAACAGAAAGTACAACACACACTCTCTATTTGCCTGTGCAGCTGATGTACAGACGCTGTGAGCTCAGAGCTGTCATTAAATGGAAATATCATGTCCTGCTGACTAGGATTCAGATAGAAAATCACTTTAATCTGCTTACGAGTGTATGTATAAATGCACGGGAAAACACTGCTTATGTAACAAATCCTCTGAGTGATTGTGCTAAAAAAAAAAAAAAAAAAAAAAAAAAAAAAAAAAAATCACAGTATGTCTCAGCATTCGTCTTTGAATTCTCTTTAATCCACATAAACCATCATTTCATTCCATTACAAGACAGAAAATCTGGAGTCTGTAAAAAGAAACAATAGAAAAAAAGAGCTGCTTTTTTTAAAAAAAATAAATAAATGTGCTGGAGCATAAACCCACACACAATCCACTCTATTACAATTTAGCTCGGTGAAGCTAACAATAAAGAAATACATACAGTGTTGATTATTTACATTTTTTAAATTTATGAGTACATGTCTTTGTATTCAGTATCAAACATTAAGAAAAAAAGTGACTCAAAGAAATATCAAATGCATTTTAGCACAAACCCTCTGTACAAGTACATTAACACAAATAGTAGCAAACTCTCCCTATAATACGGAAGAAAGGCATCTCCATTTTGAGCTGATAGCTTGAAATTTATATTTACAGGGTGACTATATACTCAATATATACTCCAGTTTGTGCCTCTCACGTATTACCATTACATTCAAGTCACAGAGCTACAGTAAGCATTCAGTTTTCTGAAAGATAAATAACAGACTGTCTTTGATAAAACCTAGTAGATCATTTAATAAAACTTACCGCCGTTCTCAAGCTATTTCCAGTATCAGAGGTTCTTATCACCATCTGGATGAAACAATACTCTGTTTGCTTCACTGAAAGAAAAAAGAAGATTCTCTATCTGTTTCCCCAGCGACTGTTTCCTAATGTGATGATAGCTGGAAATGACATATGTTCTTGCTCAATTTGTACAACTTGACCCAAATTTGAAGAATTCACTATCAACTATATTTTTCCTTATTGATGTTTCTATTTTTTTCCCCCGAACAAAATAAAATACTAATATTCATTCAGATGGGGAGAAGAGTCTTTGAGGGTTCAAGGAAATAGCACCAAATTTTGTCAAACTGTCTTTTGAGTTTTTTAAAAATTGCTAGGTGTTTCATTTTCAGAAAATCTGATGTGTAACACTACGATTAAAAATGTAATACTAAGACATGAGAGGCACAAATTGAGGATACACTCAGAGGTATATATACTATATGTACAGTTCTTGACTTTGATTCTAGTACATATGAGCTGCACTCCCTCCTTTGGGCCTGTCCTCAGACTTCCCCTTCTTTTTTGGCTTTTCCTCTGAGTCCTTGCACAGGCCTTCGTCGCTGGTTGCCTGCAGGCTGTCAAAGGTGCCCTGCCTCTCCGTCCCCTGTAGGTTCTCTCTGTGCAGCCTGTGCTTCTTCCACAGATCCACACAGCGCTCCACACAGCTGAACCTGGCCTCTGTGGTGCAGGCAAACATGCCGGCCGGCACTGCCAGCACCATGGCGCACACAATGACTATAATGTGGATGAGCCTCTCTCTTTGCTCCAGCTCACTGATGTCACTTCCTGTCACAAACACGATGCACTGGCCTTCCCTCGGCGGATGGTTCTTCAGGGTCACACACACCTCGTATTTGGTGACAGGAAGCAGGTCACTCACTGAGTAGCTGTGAATGCCGGGGCCAATGTAGATCGTGTCCTTTTTAGGTGAATCATATTTGCCAAAGTGGATGGTGAACCATGTCTCTGCAGGGTTGTCTGTCACTGCATACCACTCAAGGGTGATACCATAAACTGTTTGCTTGGCGATGCGGATGTCAATGTAGGCATTCTCTTCAGACGACAACACGGGGACAGGAGGAGGGAGAGGAGCAGAGGTGTTGGAAGAGCTGATGTCAACCATTATGCCAACAGAGGAGTTGCCAATGAAGTTGTTGGCCATGCAGGTGTAGAGTCCTCGGTCTGCCAGGTGAAGAGAGGGAATCACCAGCTGGGAGGTGACAGTCTCTGAGTCTATGTGAGTCTCTGAAACTGAAAGGAGAAAACAGAGCATCAGAGTGGACTGCTTTTAAATCAGAGGCTTGTTTACATCTGGTAAAGACATGGTAAGGTAATCTTCAAGAAGGTATTGTTGCCACATGTTCTCATAAAGCAGATGTAGCCCAAAGGTTCAAGATATACCTCACTAAGTGCTCCCACAGCAGGTTCACAACAGTTTAATGGATGGCTGTAATAAAATAAAAATAAAAAATCTTACCAGCAAATCCTCTTATAATCTTCAGACTGTATATCCACTGAATGGTCGGGCCCGGCCTAGCCTTGACTAAGCATGCAAGTGTTGCATTTGCGCCGAGAGGTAAAGTGATGTTAGTCTCTGGGGCAGAAGCCACTGGCTTCATGCATGTTTTCAACTGGATCTCGTGGAAAAACTTGTCTGCTTTGGAGATGGGCCCCGAGCACATCAAATAAGAGTTCATCAGAATGATGGGAGGGCCGACTGTCCTGATGAATTCAACAAAGCCTTTGAGGCGACAATCGCACAACCAGGGGTTGTCATGTAGCGCCAAAACCACATTGGAAACCAGCCCTTCTTTCCCCCATGCTTTCTCTGCAGTTTGGTAAAGAGGCCAATTCATGAAGACATCTTTGGATATGACACTAAGATGATTGAAGGATAAATCTAAGTAGGTTAGGGTGGGTAAGTGTCTCAGGGCCTGTTCAGGTAGGACATCCAGTTGATTGTGCTTCAGGTCTAAAATCTTGAGTTTCGGTGTGTCCTGAAAGGCTGTCCATGGAATTGAAGTCAGCTTGTTCCCTTGTAGCCTCAGCTCAGTCAGTCTGGAGAGCCCCTCCAGGCTTTTAATGTTCATCAGGGTGATCTCATTGAAATTCAGCCAAAGGAACTCCAAGGGACTAACTTTGGAGAAAGATCCTTGTGGTAACTCAGTCAGGTGGCAGTTTTCAATTCGGATTTTAGTGAAATCATGTGGAATATCCTCTGGGACTTGTCCCATGGAGGTTTCCATACATAGTAAAGACCTAGAATGGATAGACAGGATATGTTTAGACAAGAAAACCTTATGGCAAGTGTATATTCTATCTTCACAGCTAATTTTCACACAGCAACTGCACAAATTTATGGATACTGTTCTCATTGCTTAGCAGGTTACATTTAAGACAACACTCATGTCTAAAAAGGGTTTATGGCTAAAATATAACCTGTTTTTAAAGGTTTGTATAGCTTCAGTGGTAACTTACCTTCCCAAGTTATCATCTGTGCAGGAGCAGCCAATCACACAAGTTGACAATCCAGGGGAGATGAGATAAGATACCAAAGTGATATATAATGCGACATAAAAGGTGTCCATATTCCTGAAGGAGCATGTGAAATAGGCCTGTGAGGGCAGGACATGCCCATGGGTTGCGTGGAAGAAAGCCTATTACCTTAATCTTCCTTGACGTAACAGTTAAGACACCAAATAACATTTGAGACACACAGAAGAGCTGTATTTATAGCAATGGTCCACTTTGTCTATATAGAATATTGTCTGATCTGCTCAGATGCACGAATTTTGTGCAATCCAGTTCATGTGAGTGATTGTTGATTGTGCTGCTCCACTTTCAGGTATGACCCCAAAATGCTTTGCATCAGTCTAATTTAATTTATTTGTCCCCCACCAAAGAACATGCACAGATATTAAGTGGGCCGGAGCCCGTCAGGCTTAGCAGCAAAGAGAGGGAGGGCTGAAGAGAGACAGAGAGACAGATGTCTGGAGGACTATAACCTGACCTCAATCTGTACACCGTTTGTCTCTCAGGTTGTTAAAGGCTGAATCAGCATACAAAGTAAGCTTGAAAACATCTACAACACTCTGGTGCCAATCTTTAACTCACATTTTCCTTCATTGCCCAAGCTTTTTATGAGCATATGTACTAATTTAACAGGTAAAAAGATTAATCAGATATTCTGCAATATAGGCAACCTCCCAATTATGATATATATTATATAAATATTTGGTGATTGCTTATTGTTTATGTGCTTGCATTATATATCAAATTAGGACATTTGCCAAAAAGCCTTTACAAATTTTTTTTTTTTTTTTTTAAAAATGGTATTTTTCTGGTCTATTTCAATATCAGATGCCTGTTCTATCTCAAAGGACAAATCAATCTATGCCCTGAAGTTGATTTAGGTTTCTCATTCACAGATATATATGGATATGAATCTATCTACACATTTGTATTCCAGGTTCTTAAGAATTTAATTAAATCGTAAACCTTTACAAGAGAACGCTAGTGTTATTGATACTTCCTTCGTTGCGTTGTTGCGTGGCACCATCGACACCACTGTCGAACTATATAGACACATCATCAAGGCCAGTACAAGACATAAGAAAGTAAGTGGCTCCTTAGAGCATCCATGTCCAAATGCCCCACGAGATATTTATATATGCATATGATGTTTTTATGCCTTACTATACTTTGACGTTTTTTTGACGTTTGAATGCTTTACTATACTATGACCTTCTATGCTTTAGAAAACTATGACGTATTTTATGTCTTTATATACATTTTTATGCCTTACTATACTATGACATTTTTAAGATGTATTATAGTAGGACATTTTTATGACCTTTTAATGCCATACTACACCATGACCTTTTTATGACATTTTTATCCATACTATACTATGATGTTTTTATGCCTTATTATAGTATGACCTTTTTATGACTTGTGTTTTTAAATCACATTTTTGTCTTGTTCTACTGTGACATTTTTATACCGTACTATACCATAATTTTTTTTTTTTTTTTTTATTTCTTACTATACTATGACGTTTATGCCTTGTCATACTATGACGTTTTTATCCATTATACGATTACTCTTTTATGTCTTACTATACTATCGCGTTTTCATGCCTTACTATACTGTGAAGTTTTTATGATGTATAATCACGTTTTATGCCTTATTGTAGTATGACGCTTTAATGACCTTTTTATTCCTTGTGTTTTAATGACATTTGTCTTGTTATACTGTGATGTTTTTTATACCTGACTATACTATGACATTTTTTATGCCTTGTCATACTATGGCATTTTTATCCTTTATTATATGATGCCTTACTATACTATCACGTTTTCATGCGTTACTATACTATCACGTTTTTATACCTTTATACCTACTATGAAGTTTTTATGATGATTATACTATGACATTTTTATGCCTTATTATAGTATGACCTTTTTGTCTTGTTATACTATGACATTTTTATGACGTTTTCATGCCTTACTATACTATGACGTTTTTCTCTTACTATACTACGTTTTTATACCTTTATACCTACTATGAAGATTTTATGATATATTATACTATGATGTTTGTATGCCCTATTATAGTATGACCTTTTTACGACCTTTTTATGCCATACTATACTATGGCATTTTTATACCTTACTACAGTATGAAGTTTTTATGATGTATTATACTGGGACATTTATATGCCTTATTATAGTATGACCTTTTTATGACCTTTTAATGCCATACTATACTATGGCATTTTTATACCTTACTACAGTATGATGTTTTTATGATGTATTATACTGGGACATTTATATGCCTTATTATAGTATGACCTTTTTATGACCTTTTAATGCCATACTACACTATGACCTTTTTATGACGTTTTTATGCCATACTATACTATGACGTTTTTGTGATGTATTATACTATGACGTTTTTGTGCATTATTATAGTATGATTTTTTTATGACATTTTTATCTTGTTATACTGTGACATTTTTATGCCCTACTATACTGTGATGTTCTTATGACGTTTTCATGTCATACTATACTATGACATTTTTCTGACCTTTTTATGCCTTACTATACTATGACACTTTTTATGCCTTACTATACTATGACCTGTTTGTCTTACTATACTACAACGTTCTTATACCTTTATACCTACTATGAAGTTTTTATGATGTATTATACTATGAAGTTTTTATGCCTTATTATAGTATGACCTTTTTATGATGTATTATACTATGTTTTTATGCCTTATTGTAGTATGACCTTTTTATGCCATACTATACTATGACATTTTTATACCTCACAAAAGTATGTTTTTTTATGATGTATTATACAAAGACATTTATATGCCTTTTTATAGTATGATGTTTTTATGACCTTTTAATGCCATACTACACTATGACCTTTTTATGACCTTTAATGCCTTACTATACTATGACACTTTTTATGCCTTACTTTACAATGACGTTTTTCTGTCTTACTATATTGCAACGTTTTTATACCTTTATACCTACTATGAAGTTTTTATGATGTATTATACTATGAAGTTTTTATGCCTTATTGTAGTATGACCTTTTTATGACATTACGCCATACTATACTATGACATTTTTATGATGTTTTCTTGTCTTACTATACTATGACATTTTTCTGACCTTTTTATGCCTTACTATACTATGACGTTTTTCTGTCTTACTATACTACGTTTTTATACCTTTATACATACTATGACATTTTTATGCCTCATTATAGTATGACCTTTTTGTCTTGTTATACTGTGACATTTTTATGCCCTACTATACTATGACGTTTTTTATGACGTTTTCCTGTCTTACTATAGAATGACATTTTTCTGACCTTTTTATGCCTTACTATACTACAACATTTTTATACCTTTACACATACTATGACATTTTTATGCCTTATTATAGTATGACCTTTTTGTCTTGTTATACTGTGACATTTTTATGCCCTACTATACTATGATGTTTTTATGCGTTATTATAGTATGACCTTTTTATGACATTTTTGTCTTGTTGTACTGTGACAGGCACTTTTCATGTCTTACTATACTATGACATTTTTCTGTCTTATTATACTATGATGTTTTTATACCTTTATACCTACTATGAAGTTTTTAATGATGTATTATACTATGACATTTTTATGCCTTATTGTAGTATGACCTTTTTATGCCATACTATAGTATGTTTTTATTATGTATTATACTAGGACATTTATATGCCTTATTATAGTATGACGTTTTTATGACCTTTTAATGCCATACTACACTATGACCTTTTTTTTGCATTACTATACTTATGTTTTATGATGTTTTTATGAATTACTATACTATGACTTTATGCCCTACTATACCTTTTTATAACATATTATACTGATGTTTTTATGATGTATTATATTATGACTTTCAATGCTTTATTATAGAATTACCTTTTTTTCTTACTAGCTTTGATGTTTTTCATGCCTTACTACAGAATGACCTTTTAATGCATTACTGTAATATGACTTTATGCCTTACTGTAATAGGCATGTGTAGGACCCAAATGCAGCACAGAGTACAACAAAAACAGTTTGTAGAGACTTATTTCTACCATGACAGAAACTGGAGATGGCAAGTTAATCAAAAAAAAGTTAGAAATCTTCCTGGTAGACCTGGAGGCACTTGCTGAATGAGCCAGCACAGGAACATGCAGATGAAGTCCAAAGTTACAAAAGCAGTTCTTGAGGTTGGAGACAAAAGGTTGAAGTGTTTACCAGGGTTCAGACGAAAAGGGCAAGGTGTTTTTATGCCTTACTATACTATGACGTTTTCATGATGTATTGAATTATGACGTTTTTATGCCTTATTATAGTAAAGCATAAAAAGCGTCATAGCATAGTAAGGCATAAAAACATAGTATAGTAGGGCATAAAAACTTCATCGTATAGTGAGGCATGTAAATTGCAAAGTTACTATACAATGACTTTTGTATGCCCTACTATGACATATTTACGCCTTACTATACTATGACGTTTTTATGACTTACAACTACACTATGACATTCTCTATCCCTCACTATAATGACATTTTAATTGCTTACTATACTGTGACCTTTTTATGCATCACTAAAATATCACTTTTTATGCCTTACTGTAAAAGGCATGTGTTGGACCCAAATGCAGCACACAGTACAACAAAAACAGTTTGTAGAGATTCAACCATGACAGAAACTGGAGCTGGCAGGTTAATTCAAAAAAACTGTTAGAAAGCTTTCTGGTAGACCTTGAGGCTCTAGCTGAATGAGCCAGCACAGGAACATGCAGATGAAGTCCAAAGTTACAAAAGCAGTTCTCAAGGTTAGAGACAGAAGGTTGAAGTGTTTACCAGGGTTCAGACGAAAAGTGCATGTCGGGGACAAACAGGTTCAGCAACGGGGAATCAGTCCAAGAAATGCTGGGGTGTCTTGCATGGAGAAAAGCAAACAACAATCTGGCAAAGAATGACTGGAAGGCTGGGGTTTGTATACTGGGTGAGTGTAATCAGGAGCAGCTGTGTGACCAGGTGAATGGAGTTGGCTTGATGAGGTGGCAGTGGCTAATGCAGGGTGGTGCAGGAGAACAGGGTGAAAGGAAAATTACAAACTGGGAGCTGGATGACAGGGAATGCTGAAGTGAGGCAGGTGACATGAGATGCAGAACTGTGACACTTACTATACTACACTTTTTACACCTTACATTTTTATGCTTTATTATACTATGATGTTTTCATGATGTATTGAACTATGACGCTTTTATGCCTTATTGTAGTAAGGAATAAAAAACGTCATTAAAACATGGTAGTATAGTAGGGCATAAAAACATAGTATGATAAGGCATAAAAACATCATAGTATATTAAGGCATAAAAACGTCATAAAAATGTCATTCTATACTAAAGCATAAAAACGTCATAGTATAGTAAGGTATAAAAATATCATAGTATATTAAGGCATAAAAACTTCATAGTATAGTGAGGCATGTAAATTACAAAGTTACTATACAATGACTTTTGTATGCCTTACTATATGACGTTTTTATGATGTTTTTATGACTTACAATACTATGACATTCTCTTTCCCTCACTATACTATGATAGTTTTATGATTAGTAAGGCATAAAAAACATACTCTAGTAAGGCATAGAAATGTCATAGTATATTAAGGCTTAAAAAAGTAATGAAAACGTCATAGTATAATAATGCATAAAAAACATCATAAAAATGTCATGCTATAGTATGGCATAAAAAATATCATAGTATAGTATGGCATAGAAATTTCATAAAATCATCATAGTATTGTAAGGCATAAAAACATTATAAAATGTGTGCGAATATGTACTGTGACTGTGTACTGTGACGTATTATGATGTATTTTATGCCTTACCATACTATGATATTTTTATGATGTTTTTTTACAACTTATAAGAAATAAAAATATCATAAAAAGGTCATACTATACTAAGGAATAAAAAACGTAATAGAAGACATGCTAGAAGAAAAGGCAGGGGACCATCAAAGTCAACAGGATTCAGCTGTGGATAACAAATATCTCCAAATCCATCTAATAGAGTGCTGAATAGACAAACATTCCCCAGATAGCTAGGCTGCTAATAAAAATTGACATTGTTATAGTCAGAAGATCTTCACTGACACTGAGTGAAAAATGAGTGTATGTTTTGCTACAGCATCATAATGTTTCAGTGAATTAGCAATTTGTGTGAGAAATGTACATTCAATTTTTTTTAATGGACGTATTTATTCTTTTAATAGGCTACATGTAATAGGCTAATTTCTGCTTCAGTCAAGATTGATCTTGATTTCTTTAAAAAAAAAATAGAATAAAAACAATATTTTAATGTGCAAGAAAAAAGCTTGTACACATTTATCAATATAAAAATATTTATTTTTATACAGTACATTCATGCATACACATATATTTCAGGTCACAAATATTTACACATTATAAAATGTACTGTATTTTAGGTTTTTGCCCCAACGGTAAACCTGGCACGTTAACATTATACTGACATACAAAACAGACTAATAACTGCTGGTCCATCGCTTCTCTAAATACTTTATGTTTTAAATGAGGAATTTAACACAATGCAGAGGTTACATCTTGGAAAAGAAATGATGGGTTTTAGACAGTTTAGGGCAACATTTCAAGACAATGTCCTCTGCCAAACATCACCTTTAAAAGTGCATGATGAATAAAAAAAAAAAAATACACATTTACACCACATGTAAATACTGAAACCGTCACTTTGTGTATTTTCCCTTTTTTGTTGTCTACCAAATGAATGGTAGTTTTCATTCCCACAAGGCTGTAAAACAGTTTCATACATCCAATGCTGAAAGAGCTATCAGTGTCCTCTGAAGACCCTTAAAAGAGGATCATATAACTCTTTTGAGTCTCTCAGCACTGCAGTTTATCTATTCACATCGCAGGCCGTTAGAAAACAAAGTGCATCCTCTGGAGTTTGAGGCATACATTTGGTTTTAGCAGAAGTACTCATTAGGTGGCCCCTCAGTCCTAGCTGTAGCCTCTGAGTCAACACTGGACCTCGCTGAAAGCAGCCTGTTGGATTCATCAGGGTTTAGCCTGGTCAGATACTCGCCCTCCATCCCTTTAGCTTTGGCCCCGGGGCCAAGGGTCTCAAACGTGACATATGAGTCCTGCATCTCCTTGGACTGCCGCCCCAGCAGCTTTTGGCAGCGTTTCTTTAGCGCCCCACAGCACACAATCAGTGTCAGGGGGACAGCAATAACGCACGCCACTGTTATCACCACTACATTAATAAGCTTCTGAGTGCCACTAGCACTGGCCGCCTCGTCTGTTGAGAAGATTACACACTGCTCCTTTTTCGGGATCAGGCCTTTGACGCAAACACAAGCAATGTACTTCGTCTTTGGCACAAGGCCGTCAATGGTGATCCGGTTCTTTCCAGCACCCACATTGATGCGACGCATGTCTCTCTCACCAAATACTGCATACAGGACACTGAATTCTGTGGTGTTTGTGGCTGTGGGGGCTCGCCAGTTCAGAGAGACAGTATGGTCGGTGTCACCAATCACCTTCACCGAGCGAACTACCCTTTTCTCTGGAGCCTGCTGCAATGATGAGGCGTTGGCCGCTAAGTTCAAAGCATCCTGCTCCACCTCCGTGGGCTTCTGGGGGTTTGACACCTTGCCTCGTGCCTGAGAAACGCCGTCAGAGATGCTGTAGCTCTCAATCTCATACTTCCCAGTCACGCCTTTGCCATTGAGAGGTTCGATGATGGGCTGTCCTGCTGTGGTTGTTGGTGGAGGAACATATCTGGCAATAAGCTTCTCCTGGTATGCTGCTCTTCCAATGCCACCAGGTTTCTTCCCTCTGTTTCTCTTAGAGACACCACCACCTGTCTCCTCTGACCGAAAGGAATCTGTGATCACCAAGGAGATGATGGCATCTGCAGTGCCCACAAAATTGGTTGCTTTGCACACATATTTCCCAGAGTCACGGTAGGAGACTGCAGGCACGCTCAGAATCGACCAAATGATGCCCTCCTTTGAAATCTCTTCCTGAACTGAAAAACACAAAAGCAGAAGTGCACAGAGTTAAGCAGATTGGCACAAAATGAATAACTTTAATCTCATTGATACTTTGACTTGGACAGAAATAGATACTGTTCTAATCTAAGCACATCTAAACTCACCGGTGCCATTCATTTTCTTGCCATCAGCACGGCTCCAGGACAGCTCGGGGATGGGGACACCAACCGTGCCACAGCGCAGTAAGACATTGTTGCCCAGTGAGCTCCGAACACGAGCCACGGCTGTGTGCACCCGGGGGCCCTGGCACCTCTGCAGCTCCGCCTCGGTGAAAAGAACCCCTGACAGGCTCTCTGGATCAGCACACCTCAGCCTGGTGTCGACTAGTGCCACAGATGATGATGGGGACTTCTGAAATTGGACCAGATCGTACAGCCGGCAGTCGCACAGCCACGGGTTGTCATGGAGGCCTGTAGAGGAAATAAAGTGTGTCAGTTACAACAAGAATTTTTTTTTTCAACTCAGTATCCTCATATGAACTACTGCATCTTTACACAACACTTAGATCTTGCAGCTTTAAGTTGCAATAAATAGAATTAGTCTGACAACTTGACACACTGCACACAATAACTATAATTAGACTAATCCCTAACTCAGCTTTAAATGCATCTGGTGTCAAAGGAGTGGCATGCAAGGCAGCTTAAAAAGAATACTTTCCAGCATCTCAATATGTCACAGCTTGAGCCTCACCGAGAATTAGTTTGGAGGAATCAGTGTCCTGGGATGGCTTCACACTCAGCCACATTGTGAGAACATCAGCAGGAACAGTTGTCAGACTGTTGCTGGATAAGTCCAGATAGGTGATATTCTTAATGTACATGGTGGCTTCGATAGGGATGGTGGAGATCTTGTTGTTGTGCAAGTCAAGGAGCCTCAGGTTTGGCATATCAGTCAGAGACTCCCAGGGAAAGGAGGTGAGGGCGTTTCCGTCCAGCCTGAGCTCATCCAGGTTGTAAAGACCCCGAAAACTGTCAACATTCAGTAAATTCAGTGAATTGAAAGACATCCAGAGAAACTCCAGATTGTTGAGGTAGTGGAAGTTGTTGCTAGAAATCCTCGTGATTGCTGTTTTCTCAATACGAAGCTTTGATGTGTCAGTGGGGAAATTTGGAGGGACCACAGTGATTTCTGGATCATTGCAAAGCACACTCCTGCAAGAAAAAAAAAAAAAAAAGAGACAAATATTATTATTTATGATAAGTGCAATATTACAGCTACTTTCACATTTTTATATTTGTAGAAATGAATTTAGTAGCCAAACCTTTTCTGTTTAACATGAAAATAATATAATTTAGTTTTTATTAGGAAAACGTGGTAGCCTATTGTTCAGTAACAAGCAAAGGAGATTAAAGAGCAACTCCAAGTTAATCCTCCACTATACAGGGAGACTTAACACAAGAAAGCTACAGTAAAAATCTATTTTGCATGCAAGAAATAATAAAAGTATGCATACATTAACAATGAATTAGTTAGTAATTGCTGTAGTCAATTTACCTTGCTTTTGATCCATCGCTTAATTTGTGGAAGAAGCAGCTGCACTGTGCAGGACAGGAACTAACCAAGAGAGGAAGAAAAACTAAAGCCAAACAAAAAGCAGCAGTAAAATGTCTACTCATTTTGTCTCCCGTGCGTTACTTAACGCTATGCAACTAAACTACTATTTAAAAAAAAATAAATAGGCGCAGCTACTTGGTCTAACGGGACCTCAGATGCATCGTTGTTGTCTTGCAGGCTCACAGCTCCATACTGCTGCGACTGGTTTGAATCCTCAGATAAAAAGGATAGGCAGGGATTAGCGAAGGACTTGGGTTATTTTCATTCACACGATTAGGCTATTGCTTCCTGGAAGCTGATAGGCTGCATAGTTTTCACTCTCATTCTCAGGGAACTATTTTCCAATAGTTGATTGGATGGTTAATTATGGACGCAACTAAATGTACACAACAGCTCCTAAATACAGGTAGACACAACAGGCCTGCTCTCAGGATAGAAAGCCTTATTTAAACTACATGTAGGTAACAATCATGCATATTATTTTTTTTATTAGTGAGGAATTCCTTGACAGTTTTAAATATGTTTTGTTTTTCATGCTGCCATACAATATACTCCTATGTAATATATAATATCCTCCCAAATGTTGGAGTAAACACTGTAACAGTGACAGTATATGGCCAAGTATCAACAGATTACAACTCTGACATGAAAGCACGTGAATGTCATGAAGCTGCAGCTCATTTTAACAAGGTTCTGGTTTTGTTACAGCTCCTCAAGCCGTGGTCATTTTTTTTGACATGTTGAATACATTCATAGACTTATATTTTGATGATGGCTAGAACCTGGCAACAACTGACCACTAGATAGCAGTGGAGAGTTAGAAAGAGTGTACAATGTATTGAGTTACTTGCCTTTTTGTTATTAGACCAAAACTTCAAACCAGATAAATGACTGATGTGTCACCCCATCCAGTAGATCAATGCGTATGAACAGTTTTTTGGGGGGGGTTTGTAAAATTTGCCTTCCTATTTTGTGTTTATAATTTCTGATTCACAAGGAAAGCATCATTTCCCAAAGTAAATTATAATACACCATGGACTTCATCAGAGCCTATAAACACTCACTCGTTGTTTCCTCCTTCACAGATGCAAAGTCTTGCATTATGTGAGAATAATCTGCAATTTTTAATATTACTATTATATATTAATATAATACTATTTGTAATAATTTACTATAGTTTTCTGTGGATACATGTTGATATTCTGCATGTAATTGTGTGTTTGGGTGTGACCCACTTTGTGTGCTGATAGATATGTCACAGACTCTGAGGGTTTTTCACAGGTGCAGGGGTTTAAAGATGTCGCTGTGCGGCCAGGATTTCAAATCCTTTAATCCAGTCATCTCTCTGTCTCTCATTAATGCATCTTTGTTCTATTTCTTTCAGAAGGGTTGTCCCAGACATGACTAGAGAAAAACATCCAGCCCTGGCTGCACTTTCTCCCCATCTGGCCTCCAGTGGGACACATCTTGGATCAGGGATGGGGAAGGAGCTGATATATTGTCTCAAGGTACTACATTAAAAAAAAAAAAGTATTTGAGTGAAATATTGAAAAAAACTAAACTTCCCATAACTGCAGATACAAAGTGAAATAAAACCAAATCCCTCATTTTGCATTTCCAGTTTGAGAAACATTCATTTACAGACCTTGGAGTAGATAACATTCGAGATTTATTTTACGTGACAACAGATTTATCCAGATCAACATCTAGTGATTTCAGTCATTAGATAAAAGTTAAAATATGTCCTTATAGTAGAGGAAAAGCAGAATGTCGCTGAAAATGGAAAACGCTGTAGTACCGGTGCTCAATTTCTTCTCATTTCTTCTAATGTTTATCACTTAATACTTTGACGGGAATAAACAAAAAAAACTTTGTGCCAGTTGTTCATCTTTCGCCTGGTCCTCAGTCTGTGGCTGCAAATGCAATTTGCAACAGTGAAACCTTTGTCTCATTGCAAAACCAGCAGATTATGATGGTGTAATTAAGTATTTGGCAATGCACCAGTTGTGCTGCCACTACAAAGGTGCGAGCGATTTGGAACAAAAATATTACAGACAGAGATTCAGGTCAATTACAGCCATGGGTATAAAGTTCCTCTGGTTTAGATTACAATCATCATCAATCCACTGCATTTGCGTGTGTTGTACTGGTTGAGCCTGGCTCTTATTTCGTCACACTCAGCTGCTGTAGATTAACAGACTGTTTTATCGAATCTTTTACATTGTGAAATTGGCACTTGCTGCTTTATGTTCCTGCATGGCCTCACAGCGCTCCCTCAGTTTATGACGAACACTTCTATAGGCCTCCGGTTGGGATTTTAGGGCAGCAGACAAACATGCTGATGTACATCTAATGATGCTTCAATTTATCTGTAAGAGAACAACATTTCTTCTGCCACATTGAAGCATCATTATATGTACATCAGCATGTCCCATGTGTCAGAGTGGCAGATGCAGCGGTATAAGCATTGACATTGCAGCTCTTTTTTTTCTGAAAGTGAGGAAGCCTGTAACTGGATGGGACGCTGAGCTTTTAGTCAGGACAATATGGGCAGTTTGAGAAAAGGGTATTATTAGTCCATTGGGACACATCATTACTTCATAGTTAATGAGTTTGTGGTAATCTGTGGACAGATTAGTGGTGCAATCAGACTCTGCCCAAATGTTACATTTTAAAAGCTTCGGGCTGCTGCGAGAGCAAAAGGTCTCTTTTCCAGTGTCCTCGTTTTTAACTGTTGGTCAACAGTTCAAGACAGATAAATCATCAAGTAAATGAATGAAGTCTGAATGCTTTCACACACTTTTTATTTTACCTTTTACACTTAATTGGAGTTTGCAATAATTTGTCAGTTTAACTCTTGAATGTGCAACCCAAAAATTATGCTCAGTGAAATTAAACTCAAAAGTTAACAGAGTTTAAGGCACACAGAGTAAAACAGACTGGGTAATAAGGATGTAGAGGAAGAATCACAGTGTAACTATGTGTCCTTTTAAGCAGCTGGAATAAATGTGTAACTGACTTGATGAGATGATGTAATTTTGAAAGAAAAGGACTACCAACTCCATAAACAGTTAAAAGATGTACAATGTCTGATCATAACAGTGACGTCAATAACAATTCTCCAAATTGCAAATATACATTATACTAACAGTACCAGATGGTCTATCATTATTCAAGAGTCAGATATTCAAAGTCAACTTTGCAGAATTTGTTTGGAGGCTACATTCACTGGATAAAGCCAGACCAGTAATAAAATGTTTCAGAGGGTAAAACATTTGTCTTTTTAAAAAGCCACAGCACACAAACGTGTGTGTACTGACAACATTGAAGCAGTGGTGTTATTATCCCATCAACACCTCCTTATTTCAGAAACAATAGCATAAGCAATACATTTTCTTTAGAAAAACAAACATCAAGAAAATGAAATATAAAATGAAATTTAGAATAAAGCAGATGATTTTACTCTGTAGGCAGAATGTGCAGAACACTGTGACTGCTTTAGACTGGGTTTTGGCTGCTACTGAAGAGCAGATCAACCAGCTGCCTTTAAGAGTACAAATTATCACATGCAAGCATATCGAGTAACTCGAAAGACAACATTTCCCATGTTCCCATTCTCTCTTCTTATCAGCCACAACAGCTGAATGAAGTGGACTAGTAAAGGAAAGTTGATCTTTGAACCGAAGGGTTTCTGCGGAAAAGTTTCAAATTGACAACAAACAAAAAAAAAACACCCACAATTTTTGCGACTTTTACATCGAAGAGTTGCGCAGCAAACGCGCAAACTTTTTGCGCCCAGACAGTTTGAAGGAGTTCTGCTCGTTAGCACATTCTTCGGGGGATTGGCAAAGGGGCTTTTGCTAAGATTAGTCAGTTTATGCGTTTTCACGTGAAAGAGCCTTTATAAAGGAGTCATTTTGTTGGGGACGGTGGTGAGCTACACATCAGGAAAAGGACTTGTCTGTTTTGTGCAAAGTTTATTTTGTGCATTTCAACATGGCAGCGTATACATTACCGGAGGGATTCACGGAGTTTGATATGTTTACATTCGGCACAGCACTTCTCGTTGGGGGTAAGTAGCGCCAGCACACAGGAAGACATCTTTACACAAGAATTAAAGGGACAGTACACTCTGAAACCATTTGTCTATATAAAATTAGTAGAGTCTTCGACTGCAAGTTCACAGGTTCTCAACCAAAATCACTGGTTTTAGAAAGCTCCAAATTTCAAACTTGACTGTTCAAAGTGAAGCTATATTGAAATAGAGGCTATTTCATGGCCTTAATGTTTGGGGTAAGATCAGGGTTATAAGACCGTGCTGATGAATTCAAACTGATGAGTGGGGTTAAACTCAAGATGCTACTGAAGATTAATTTGAAATCTCCATTTCTTTGTCACTTTCAGGCCTGCTTGGATTCTTCCTCAATGCCATCAGCATCGTGTCTTTCCTCACAGTGAAGGAGATGCGGAATCCCAGTAACTTCTTTGTGTTCAATCTTGCTGTGGCTGACCTCTGTCTGAATATTAATGGACTCACAGCTGCCTATGCAAGCTACCTCAGGTATGAAATCTATTTCATTATCAGGGGGGATACTACATTTCTTTCAGCAATCCCTCCCCACAAAAAAGGCTTAGTATTTGATATTAGCCGTTGGATGTCACAAGATAAATAAGCCTCTGGGTTTCATAATCCAATTCACAATCCACTTTATTCAGCGTGTAAAGTTCACATTCTGCAGCACACCTGTTGGAAGTTGGAGGAAAAGTAAAACAACTTTTAAATAAAGTTTTTGATTCCTGTTTAAACCCCTTGTATGTTTTATTAAGTGGTTCTCAAACAGGGCATCAGCAGGGCTCAGTTAAGATAGTCACGGGGACCCCCTAACACCAATTTGTCCCACTCTATGTGCATGGTGTTTTGTGTATGTATCATGTACAAATATATTTAATGAAAATGCACCATGTAAGCACAGTAAGACTAGAAAATGGGTCCTCAAGATTTGGTAATAATTCAGGAGTTGCCTGAAGGACCCTATTACTTCAGTGTATAATGTGATTTAGTGATGTATGCAGTATTAATAAACAATTTAGTAAATAATCCAATTACCACAGACTAATTTCCATGTCCTCAAGGGAATTGCTTGTTTTGGTAATCCGGCCTTGGGCACTGAGAAGTCGCCCCCAAGGATTTTCATTATAAATATGATGCGTTACAAGTTGATTAAAATTCATTTTTCTGACTTTTTTTTTTGGTGACACATTTGAGAGTTTTACCTCCTCAGGGCTTGAACAATCTGACAGTCGAACATCACTATTGGATTTTACTGCTCACAGCTCAAAAGTACCCTGTGATGAAGGGCGGGAGCTGCATAGAAATCAGACCATTATTCTGTGACAACCATGCTTTCAAAAATGTAACCAATCTGCATCTTCAGCCTGTCATAGTTATATAATAATACTGTTTATATAATACCTGATATTGACAACTTTCTTCTGCATTATGGAATATGACTAAAGTTTTGTCGTCCTCTCTAGATATTGGCCATTTGGTCAAGATGGATGTGGCTACCACGGTTTCCAGGGGATGATCGCGGTCCTGGCCTCCATCAGTTTCATGGCTGCCATCGCTTGGGACAGATATCACCAGTACTGCACCAGTGAGTACAAGATATCACCAGTGCTGCACATTCAATTCATTGTGCAAAAGAGTCCAAATATGTCATGTTTGAAATCAGTAATACTGCCTGAAAAAAATATCAAAATAGAATAAAGTTGTAAAACCCGCACTTATAGAGTTTGGACTTCTAAGATACTATGTCTTTATCCTGTAGGACAGAAGCTCTTCTGGAGCACAACTCTGACAATGAGCGGTATTATCTGGATTCTGTCCATCTTCTGGGCTGCTGTTCCTCTAATGGGATGGGGCGTCTATGACTTTGAGCCCATGAGGACTTGCTGCACGCTGGACTACACCAGAGGGGACAGGTGGAGTTATAGAAATATAGGAATAATACCAAATCTGGAATGTTAGCATGTTAGCACCCAATTCATAATTCTATGTCAAATATTTACAATGTTCCATATTATTTTCCTATTTACCTCTCTTCAACAGGGACTATGTGACCTACATGCTAACTCTGGTGCTGCTCTACCTGATGTTCCCGGCCATCACCATGTTGTCGTGTTACGATGCCATCTACAAACACTTCAAGAAGATCCATCACCACAGGGTAAATGTGCCTCAGTATACTCAAAACGCATTTTAAGGGAACACTCCAATTTGTTTTTGTTTTTTTTGTTTTAATGTTAGATCAGTGAAAATTATTTTTTTCTACTTAACCTGATCTAGGCTGACTTGTTTTGGCTGTGCCTGTAGAACGCAGAGTTTATCTTGATTGTTATATTAGGACACACAGACAGACAAGGACCCAGAGGTTTTTGAGCATCTTGAATATTATGTTGGGAAATTGCTTTCTTGATGAGAGTTATAAGCTCAGCACTTTTCTGCCCTGTGCGCCCTGCAGATTGATTTATGACATTTACACTGTCTGTGTCTGCAGAGTGACCAGATGATGTGCAGATTAGAACTCACATATTGCGTATTACATACAAACACATTATAAGGCTAAACCTTAATTTGTCGACTCTTCCTTTTCAGTCGCTAGATATGAGCTTGTCCTTTATTTTCAGCTGCACTGCATCATCTGCAAGTTCTAAATCCACCCAAAAGAATGTGTAATATCTACGCTAATACACTGAACTTTGTTTTTCTAGTTTAACACCAATATGCCCTTGAGGGTCATGCTGATGTGCTGGGGCCCCTACGTCCTCATGTGTATCTACGCCTGCTTTGAGAACGTGAAGGTCGTGTCTCCAAAGCTGCGAATGGTGAGTACTTATTTTGTTTTAGGGAAGATACAAACTGTTAGCTTGTTTACAGCCTTTCTTCATTGATGTCACCATGTTCCTATATCAGAAATTACTTTGTTGAGAACAATGATTTTTTTTAAATGAATCAAAATGATGGCCAGACACAGATTGTAATAAACCAGAACTATTCTTTAAATCAAGCACTTTGAAAATAACTGAAGTACTTGTTTCCTCTCTCAGGTGCTTCCAGTTGTTGCAAAAACAAATCCTATCTTCAACGCTCTCCTCTACTCGTTCGGAAATGAGTTCTACCGAGGCGGCGTGTGGCACTTCCTCACCGGACAAAAGATTGTTGATCCAGTTATTAAGAAGTCAAAATAAAAGGAAACTCAGTGTCCTCTGGCAAAAAAAATATGAGCCCATCATTTGCTCTTATGATAGGTTCCTCACACTTTTGGTAGGGTATTGTAAAGTAAACATCATTGAACCATTTAGACGCCTGTACAGTTGTCATATTTTCACACGTGGGAAGTAGATGAAACTCAGGACAATCTCTACATTTGGAGCCGCGACTGTAGCCTCATGCTGGATTTGTGTTCATTTACAGTATGTGTTGCAAGTAATTTATCCGTTTTCAAATGATTGCATTCTTACTACATTAATTTGTCTTTGACCTACACTGCTCCTCCGTCACTCACAATAAAAAGATTGTGTTGCTGCTCTTCTACTGTGTGCTCCATCTATTTTCAGATGGTTTTCAACTTGAACAACAACACTGGTTTAAGAAGCCGAATTTCTACAGTTGGCCAGCATCCTTGGATGCCCTTTCTTGACACGACTGGCCCAGGCATTCACTAAGAAGATTAATGCATTGTGTTTTTGTTACAAAGACTGTCTAAGGTGATGTAACGTCTTTATATAGTAAGAAGGCATTCACTGTGTTAAGACTCTGTTATGCAACTATGCTATAGTTACCACCTGAGACATAGTGAACTTAATCACATTAAGGTAGCTGGTTATTTAAATCGATAAACTAATAAATGAATAGGTAGATTAGTGTGTTGGATTTTTTTAAAACTGTACTTTGAGCTAAACTTGAAGGCGTATTCCTCTCCACATTCTCCTCATGGAACTTATTTAGCAGTTTTCACACTTTTTCATTGTTCCGAGTTGTTCAAAAACAAATGCAGAGCTCATTGTAATCCGAGGAAGTGCCGACGTTCGCCTCCATGCACATGACTAAAGAAGCCATTGTGCACTTGTTTACCGAAGTAACTGGATATTAAACCTGATGTAGATGTTAGGTTAGGTAAGATGTTAGGAGAGTATGTTGGTAGGTTGAATGATAGACAAGAATTTATGCAATTTAGAAGCAATACATCCCTGTTGACACTGACTAGTCAGGGCAGCCACATTATTTTGCTCTGTTTTACCCCATTTCTTTGGTTTACATGAATTGCATTTTGCCTTTTCTAAACATGAGCCACATTTATGTAAAGTGTTAACAGTGTCAGCAAGGCAGCAGAGAAAAAGAGACTGCTGCACTCTGATCTCTGAGCTGCTAAATACACACACTCCAGAAATAAGCCACAGTGAGACAGTCTATGTCACACTAACCTCAGAGGTGACTAACATTCTTGCCAGGAAGTCATCAGCAATTGAAATCCTCTCACTGTCAATGGTCGCACGTCTTAACAGGGGAGGAGTCAGCTGTAATGAGCAACAATCATGCAGGTTCAGAGAGTCCTGTTGACTTAAATTAGATAAATAACATGTATTTAAGTCTTGAATTGCAGTGTTATCAGCATGTAGCAGCTGTGACACTTTGTCTAATTGAAGGCATCACTTCACAAATTACTAATGCACAAATCAGGGGATTACATTGCCAGAGGATAGAGCAGTGACATCTTTTTTGTTGTTTTGAAAATAACAAAGACTGAGACAGAGGGACTTGATCCAACTCAAAATCAATGTATAAACACTGACAAAACTCAATTCAAGTCAAAATCATTCACTTTAAATCCAAGCACTTATGAAAATACAAATTAACTCCTTTAAATGTAAAGCATGTTTTATTATTTTAGTCTTACTACATTAACAAAAGAAAGCCACACATTTAATGAAATCTTTGTATTTTTGTGTGTATTATTTCTTCTTCAGTGAAAGGCATTCTTCAGGTGTGAAAGTCTTTGTTGAAAAGAGGTTAACAGTAAAGTCAGGAGTTGACCTCAGGAATAAGTGTTGGTTGTCACTCCAGCACATGCACAAGCTCTGCTCATTATCAGGTGTTAAAAGTTGGACATAATCACGTACTTCCTCATAAACTCTACTGAGTCCACCTAGGATGATCAGGGGTTTTTCTCAGCAGAGAATGAGAAATCCAACAGATTAGCATCAATTTCTTGGAATGAGTGGTTTCCTTTGACTGACAGCTGATTACAAGACAGTGTATGGGCTAGTGATCTAATTCAGTTAGAGCTGCAGAAAGAAGCAGCACTAATAGCAACAAGCTCCCAGGAAGAACGACTTGTCACAGATAGATATAGCCTCGCTGAGCTGTCTTCCAAAACATTGTGCCGATAACTAAATGTGACTACAGCGGTTTGCATTCAGTCGAGTCAGGGAAAGGTGAAGGTGTTCCTGCCTCTGCTTGCATAGTGATGATAGAGTGAGTGTGTTAAAACTAATGCTAGACACAGACAGATGGTGTAAAAACATCTGTCCTTACGCAGCACAAACAGCAGCCCCACCACACATGGGTGCAGACATGTGACATTTTCAGAGAGATTTAGTTAGTCAGTCTGATTCTGACCTTAAGAACACAAGGACACCAGGGCCACAGCCAGAAATGTAGAAATCCTGAGGTCATTTGTTCACCTAGTGCAACCCCACCCCAGTAAATTAAGTTTAATCGACTAATTTGATAGAAAATCTGAACTGAATTTTCAGATTATTTTACATTTATCTTTCATATTTATTTCTTTCATATTTACAAAACACATGTAAATTACAAAGTATTTCATGTAATATTCATCTATTGACTTGATGTTGTTTCCAACTACACTAACACACTACACTACATCTGTTGAATAAAGATAATAAATCCTTTCATTTCATCTCCAAAACAGTCACGTTTAAAAATATTTACAGGTGTTAAAATGAGCCTCAACAAAATGTAATTTGTGCATGACTGTAAACTGTAAATTTCCAAAACAATACAAAATAACATTTATTAATCCGGTAAGAACATATTACATTTATCACTTTAAAACTCTTAAAGTTAGAGATATAAATGAGGATTATGGCTGAAGAGCACACACCAACTGATGATCTGTTTAAGTTTGTAAGACAGCTTCTGAGTTACAGTTTGAGAAAGAAAAAACAATTAAACAGAATATAACAGACTGTTAAAAGTTGAAGCACAGACGTCATTTTAGGGAAAGATTGGTTGCATAAGTTAAAAGTTAATGAGCAACATTGTGTTGACCCACTAAGTGCAACGGTTGATGTTTATGTTGAATAATACTTGTTGCGTTATGTTGTCTCATCCTCAGCCTCTTATTTCTTACTTATTTGTTTTTCAGAAAAGAAAACCAAAGGTCAGAGTAAATCATATACGTTAAATATTACACATGAGAGTCCATAGGTCAGATTAGATGACACATGTCACATGACGAAAACATACTAACACTGTCTGGGTCTGTGTACTGACACCAGTATCTCCTGTGGATTTCTACATTGTTGCTGACGTTCTGCCAAATTACTAGAATGAGTTTGTAGAGATTATCCATGTACTCGCATCTCTGCACTGTCACTCATATGAAATCTGTGTTTAAAAAACTGCAGTGGGCCTGTGGTATTAGACTATAATATAGAAAGTGTTTATCTAACAGCTGCTGCTGTGCCAAGCCTCTCTCATTAGTGAAATTGGGCAGTTATTTCCTGTGGTGTGTTAATCCTCCTGTTGGTGTATTAATGTTGCCTTTTCTTCATCAAATCATCCACTGAACACGCTGGAAACTCCCCTCCACCGCCTTCTGAGACCATCATCCAATCTACTGTTTTACATAACAGTAATCATCATAAGTGTCATTATAAACAACTAGGAGACAAGATGCTCTCTTGGCTGCTGTCTTTACCCATACTGATATCAATGATATAGGTAAAGATATACTGTCACACGTATCACAAGTATGAAAATCTGCAAAAGAAATGATTTGTTATCTTAATAACAATGGTAATAAGAGGTTGTAGTAGTGGTACTCGTTGTAAAATTAGACATTCAATAGCATCTTTTCAAATGAATGCCCAAACTAATGTTTCCAAATAGAGGAATATGATATAAAGATAAAAATGTCCCATAAATAAGTTTTCCAGCTAATCATATTTGAGGTCTGTTATTACTGATGTAAACAAACATTCTAATTCTAATTCATTCTAGTAAATAGCAAAAAAAACAAAAAAAAACAAAAACAATATTTATTTATTTGTTTGTTTGTTTATTCATTTATAAATTAGTTTGACTATATGACTACTTTAAACTAATGCCATCAGGAATGTATTTTAGATTACCAGCATGTTGATGGGGGATTGGTTTGATTCCAGAAGTCATTAGACTTGTGAACAGCCATCTATTTGAAGTGGTCTCTTTGCCTTGTGCATAGACTAATAAATGCATATGAATATTTTGACTTCTGCTTTTTGTAAATGTAATCGTAACGGAATTTGTTGGCCAGCTAAGGACTGGCCACCGTTACAGATCTGTGTGTATTTTAACTCTTTTGTGTAACTCATTATTAATGTGTGTGCTCTTGATTGTGGCCTTGAATTATCCCTTGAAGAACAAATTAAGCATCTTGAATCATATAGATTCATTTAGATTATTTGGTTGTTGTCTGGTGTCTGAAATAGGAGGTTCCAGTCTTGTGTTTTGAATTGTGGTGAGTGCTACGCTTGGTTTTAGATCATGAATGACACATTTGTTACTATTTGCAAGTCTTCACTGCCCTCTACTGGCAAATAATAACAGAGCTAGTTAAGAAATGAAAAGATAAATAAACAATCCTTTTATACTTTTATCATGATGCTGAAAATACATTTTCTTTAAGAAACATTATTTTTAAATAATATTTTAAAAATATGTTTTAATATTATTGAGCTTTTAACACCGTAATAAAATAATAAACACTTTAAGTCCCCATTGTTTAGCATTTAGAGGCAGTATGCAAACATTTAATGACTGGTTTATAACACTGTAATGTGGTCATATACAGCTATAAGAACATTTAAATTTCTTATGAATGTACAGTATTTGTCAGCCATTAGAAATTCTCACATGAAGACATATTTCATATTTTATTTTATATAGCACAGTGTTTTACAATATTATCATTCATTATCTGTTTATACAACAACCTCCACAGGAACTATAGTTGTTGACAAATAAATCAATAAACACACATCTCCTTACGCCTGTATTATAGTACTTTTTAAACTAATTATTACATTTTTTATGCTTCTCATGAATAATTGGGGAACTAAATAACTACATAACTAAATTGGGGAACTTAATCTTACCAATTAATTTAAAATGGGAATATTTGTAACTACAAGAGATAGAGAGAATAAAAATCCATCTGAAAACCATCTGAAAAGTCTTTAAGGAGCAAACACTGATTATAATAATATATACAATTCAGTTATTTTAAAACTAAAGAAGGCGGTAGCTATTACTCCCTTGAGGTACTGGGCTGGGTGGGATGAGATTTTTTTCTGTGCACTTGTACATTTTCACCACAAGCTGTCGCCGGTGTGTTGTGCTAAAGTAAAAAGGCTCTCCAAATGGTTCGTACTGTGGCTTCATCTCAGGACATCTCAGAGCTGCGTCCAAAAGTCTTTGTTTCATTAGTGTTGTTATGAACATATTTAGGTTCTGTGGTGGCTACATTTTTGACAAAGTCATGAACAGAAAAAGTGTGTGTGTGTGTGTGTGTGTGTGTTTAAGCGTTTTTGCTGTTTGTCTCTGGTGACGGGAGCTGTCCACAGCCTCGTGGTGCTGAAATCTCCTCAGCTCCAACAGCACCGGCTCGTTTATGAGTTCATTGGCATAACCTTATTATATTTACAAACCTTTCCATAAACTCACTTAAATTCACTTGAAGATCTTATTAAGCTTTAACATCGTGTAACTAATATGTGTCTCCCCCAAAATAATCTATATTAATAGATGCCCAGTATTGATGAGGTTTGTAGTGTTCTTCAGTATTCTGAAGATTTATTTGTATTTTATTTTGAGATTAACATCAGGCTGATTTCGTGTGTATACGCCAATAAATGAACGTGAAACTATATTTCTCCGCATCATCAAAGTCAAGAGTACCACACTTGGCATTAGGAATAAAAAAGCCCTTTTCTCTTGCCTGCTCTTGTAGAGGGGTCGTGATGTGGTGCTCATTGGCTCTTATTGGTTGAAGTGATTGCTGCCATGGTTGGAAATTAACATAAAGGAGGCAAGTGACGAAGGGATCCACTTGGGGGCAAGCTGGCGATGCGTCATAGCTCTTGGTGAAAAGGGGAGACAAAAAAGGACGAAAATAGCGCCGAACCTGCGGGTTAATGTGCATCAATGGCCACGAAGTCACTCGTGGTCTCAGAGCTGAGCGCAAAAGTGCCACAGGTGATAGGAGGTATGAGCACAGAGATGAGAGACTTTGAGCGTCCTAGGATTTGCAAATAAGTAACAAAAAAATCGCTCCAAACAAACTTTGCCATGTAAGATTAGTGGCCGAAACCTCTGCGCGGTGCAGAAAACCTGCTATTTCACCACGTCACTTCTCGGGAGATCATGAAACAACATCGGATGCGGCTGAGGCGAGGGCAAGTTGGGGCAGCTGAAGAAAGCCATCTTCACGGATGAAGCAGCCAAGTTCCTCTGCGCCTCTCCCTTTACGCACAGGCGAGGTGAGGACGGAGAGCATCACATCAATGTAGAGAAAACACCAATGAGTCGTCCGAGGTGCTGAAAGATCGGCAGCAGACGGGAGAAGCACAACTACAATTTTGAACCGAAAACCATCCAAAAAAAAAAAGAAAAAAAAAAAGAAAAAAAAAGCACACCATGGATGGAGAAGGGGGATCCTCCGGGCTGGCTAAATCGGCCGCCGTAAAACTGTCCGAGATGGGAGAGAGAACCAAACAGTTAGGCACCGCGATGAGGGATCCTCACCAGCAAAGACGGATCATATTAGTGATCGTTTGCGTCGCTCTCCTGCTGGACAATATGCTCTACATGGTAATCGTGCCAATTATTCCAGACTATCTTGCTGATCTGGAGAGTGAGCAGTCAGAGCACGTCCACTTAGTGATGCACCCCAACACTTCAGCCAACAGCACAAGCCAAGACAAAAGCAACAAGAACAATTTAGATATCCAAATAGGAGTACTTTTTGCATCTAAAGCCATCCTGCAGCTGTTAGTTAACCCGCTCTCGGGAACTTTCATAGACCGGGTTGGATATGACATTCCACTTTTAATTGGACTGACTGTTATGTTCCTATCCACCTGCATATTCGCTTTTGGGGAGAACTACACGACGCTCTTTGTGGCCAGAAGTTTGCAGGGTCTGGGGTCTGCTTTCGCGGACACCTCTGGGATCGCGATGATAGCTGACAAATATACGGTGGAGGCAGAGAGAAGCAAGGCGCTGGGTATCGCTCTGGCGTTTATCTCTTTCGGGAGTCTGGTGGCGCCTCCCTTCGGGGGGGTCCTGTACGAGTTCGCGGGCAAGAGAGTGCCCTTCATCGTGCTCGCCTGCATTTGCCTGGCGGACGGCTTCCTGGTGCTGGCCGTGATCAAGCCGTTCTCCAACAGGACTAGAGAGAACATGCCAGTCGGTACCCCCATATACAGACTCATGATTGACCCGTATATAGCTGTGGTGGCCGGGGCGCTGACAGTGTGCAACATCCCACTGGCTTTTCTAGAGCCCACCATAGCCAACTGGATGGAGACCACCATGCACTCCACTCAGTGGGAAATGGGACTCACCTGGCTCCCAGCCTTCTTCCCTCACGTCCTCGGTGTGTACATTACAGTTAAATTGGCAGCACAGCATCCAAATCTGCAGTGGTTCTACGGAGCTTTAGGTATGGTTATCATAGGAGCGAGCTCCTGCACAGTACCCGCATGCAAAACTTTTGGACAGCTCATCGCCCCGTTGTGCGGCATTTGTTTCGGTATTGCACTTGTAGACACTGCACTGCTGCCGACACTTGCGTTTTTAGTTGACGTGCGTCATGTCTCAGTGTATGGTAGTGTTTATGCTATAGCAGATATTTCCTATTCTGTTGCATATGCTATGGGTCCCATAGTAGCCGGGCAGATAGTGCACAGTCTCGGGTTTGTACAACTGAATCTGGGTATGGGTCTCGTCAATGTGCTTTACGCACCAGCCCTGCTGCTGCTGCGAAACGTGTGCCAAATGAAGCCGTCCTACTCGGAGAGAGATAACCTGTTAGACGAGGGTCCGCAGGGGCTCTACGATACGATCAAGATGGAGGAGAGGAGAGCTAAAAAGAAGGGCTACAGTTCGGCAGGGAACTGCCTTCCAGTAGATGAAAATGGGTTTGACCCATTCGGAGCACAGCGGTCCTTATCAGAAGAGTCGTCCGGTCCAGAGTACACTTAGACCGGTCACACTCTGACCGCCCCCCACCACCGCCCCTGAAACATTCCCCTGAAAAGATTTGAGGCAGGCAGACTATAATCTAGTGATTTAAACTTTTATGTAAGTACCGATGTGCAATATAAACACCCAATCACCAAAATCATGATTGTGTGACCCGTTTTCCAAGGTTTTTTTTTTTCTTTCTTTCTTCTTGACTGTGATTTCATTGTGTCGAACAAGTCTATGTAGCGTTTGTCATGGACGTCTAACTGGAGTTTTGTGAGAGATCTATCAGCTAATGTTGAATTTGTGTGTATCAATGAGTATTGTAAAAAGATATAAATAGATAAATGTGCGTACAAGATTATATGGGACCAACTATAAGCAGCACATTTCCCCCCCCTTACACGAAAATAGCCTATATTTTTAGTCTGAGGAAACTTTTTTTACTTGCACATCAAAGGCCTCATTTTCTTGTTTTTGTTGTTTAAAAAAATCGTAAAATTTGATTTTGTAACAAGTGTGTCTGTTTGTTATTATTTTTAATTCAGATGGGGTATTTTTTTGTCGTTGTTGTTTGAAATTAAATGTATCATAATAAATGGATTTTGTACATATGTGGATATATGCACAATGTAAATTGTTCAAACATACGTGGACCTCTACAAAGTGTATGTGTGTATGTGTGTGTTTGTGTGCGCGCGCGCGTGTACGTATGAAATATTTTGTCAAAACGTAGCCAATGAAGTCAGTCTCCTTAAGATGAACAAATATGTATTCATTTATCAATTGTCGTTTTAATAAATCTCTGTTTGGATCTGTGCGACACTGATGATTTCATTCTTATCTCAAGCGTCACACGAATAAAAACAACATAACTGGGAAACTTTTTTCGTTAGAAATATAAAGAATTTATATTATTAAAGTGATTCAAATTCTTATTTTGCTTCTTAAGAAGCATTAAAATACCAAAGATAGAAAAAACGAGTCTCAGCTGAATTTTGTTTTGTACTTAAGGTGGAAAAAACACGAAACTTTCTATAATTAAAGAAGAATTGCTCTCCAGTTTAATTGAGACACTTGGTTTGCACACATTGCGCTATCAAACACACAGAAAGAGGAGAGAGGAAGCGCAACAGGAAAACCAAAACATACACAAATGAACTGATCCAAGTGCGCAGCAGTTTGAGAATCATATGGCATCAGCCTGCCAACAAGCGCATCATGTATGTAAATCTTAACAGATATAGCACCACACAGTAACTATCTGCTCATGGCCAACATGACCTATGAATGACAAACCAAAAAACCGACTCTCACTATTTATATATATATATATATATATATATATTAAAATTAGTATGGTTGTGGGACAAGAGTTGGGGAGGGCATGGGGTGTTGTGGGGCTGAGGGTGGGGTGCGGGCGGCGGGCTGTCAAGAAATATGTTCCTCGAATAGATGTCGATGGGAGGAGTTTCGTGCCTCAAGGGGGTAGGTAGACGCAAACACCTTCAGCATCTTTTCCACGGCGCGCTTTAATGTGGAATCACAGCCTTATGTCGAAGCGTGGGGACCGGGGAGCAGTCTAGCGCCGACACGGAGCTTTACTCTAATATGGGATTTCACGGCGTGGACGTGGGAGGCAATGTGAACTTGCACACACTTCTCTGACCTCTTGGGTAGCACACCGATCAAGTAAGGTAACTTTTTCTTTCTCTCTCTCTCCCTCTCTCGAATAATAACAAAGGAGATTTTGTATTTATTAAAAACCTATTTTCTGTATGAGGAAGATTATTCATCTTAAAAACTCTTTTTTAAAGTCCACTTTGCTCTGACAACGAATTTTGAAAAGTTTTCTAATCGTGAATCATTTAACTTGTTTTTGGTCAAACCAACTTCCAGTTATACAATAACAATTTCGCATATATTTTTTGTTTCAAGAAATATATATTTTCTAATTAAATTCCTTTTAAAAAGTGAAACTGCAAGTGAAATAACTACAATTCGTCTCCCTTTATTGGCTTAACTGTTATTTGCTTTAGGAAAAAATGAAGCTTTTAATGCTGAAACAGAGATGAATTGAGTTGTTAAGATGCATATCGCTTTGCAGCGGTGAGCTATGAGGCGCAGCTGGAATTTAAGGACAAACAGCAAATTGCATTAGGCTGCAAAATGAAGAAAGATGGAAGCCGGCTGGCTCACTTTCAGACAGCACTTTGTGGTTCTATTTCTCTGTAGGCCTGATTATATTTAATGCGTTTTGTTTTACTTTCTTGTTCTCTCTTAACGTGCTTCGCGCAGGGAAGGCTGAACTCAAACCACCTCTAGAGGGTTTCCGCATTATTTACCCTTGAGTGGACTGGAATGCAAAGATGCCAGTGCTGGAGAAAGAGACGGCCAGAGACCGAGACAGCCAAGTATGAAAACAAGTCATTGTTTCTATAGTGAAACTGTTTTTCCGTACATCAGCATTCATTCCATATCTTCCACATTAGCTATATAAAGTTTTCATCCTGAGCGCTGTCCACGGTGCTGAAGTTTGCAAACTAACGGGGCTGGATTTCAGTGCCATGGACAGCGCCAGGTTCACTTACGTTAATTGGCCGCTAGGGGCGAAAATTGCAACAGGCTTTTCACTCCTTAGGGCCTGTAAAACCTTATTCCAAACACTGATATAGAACATTTCTTTCTTTTTTTGTGGAGCGATTTAATCAACACTGAGCCAGTGGTGTATTACATTAGAATGGAGTTTGCATTGCATTGCATTGTGTTTTGATTTGATTTTTGTTCATTTTTTCTCTGTATGTCTTTGCAGAAAGAAATGTCAAAAACTGTCTACACAGTCCCCATTTCCAGGAACCCACAGCTACAGCTAACTGTACAATTCAAATGTACTAGTCAATATTAACATCTTGGGTTAACAACAGTATCCAGTATGCAAATGATCAACCATCAGACAGAAAATCTAATCAATTTGCAACAGTGTATTTTAAGTCCCATGAGGCTGTGGAATTTATTCTCACATAGGCCTTGAAGCATTTAGGATGAATTATTAACTCTGGTTCTAATAATAATGAAAGCATAAAGGAAAGATGTGAGGGAATTACGTCTTTAACAAAAGACAATAAATATGCTGAGCAGCTGCTGTCCTTTCTTTATGAGTATATATACCAATCTGTTCTTTTTATGGCTTCAGGTGTTGCCAAAGGTCCCTGTGCCCCCACTGAAGCAAACCCTTGACACGTACTTGAAATGTGTCCAGCACCTTGTGAAGGAGGAGCAGTTTAAGAAAACAAAGGCCATCGTGGAGAAGTTCGGGGCTCCTGGAGGTGTCGGAGAGGTTCTACAGAAGAAGCTTTTAGAGAGGAGGGACAAGACGACCAACTGGGTAAACTCTCAGATTTTTTTTTTTTATAAGTGTTTAAGAGAAGTTGTATATTTTGCTCTTTTTTTTTCTTTCTAACTTTCTCTGGTTCATCATTTAGAAAAATCAGATGATGACACAGAGGATACAATAAATTGACTATGAAACTCTGCCTTTGCTCCTTCTAGTCTGAAAACAAAAACAAAAATGGTCTCAGATTTCGTCTCCAATATGATAGAATTCTTATGATATTACATAACCAATTCATAAAAGAGTTGAAAATTGTGAAACAGCTGGCGATAAAGATTTATCGGAGCCTCGGCTCGTCCTTTGTTGCTTCAATCTCTCCTCCTGCGTCTGGGTGATCGCTCAGCCCACAACTCATCCAGCTCAGTGAAATCTATCACGCTCCCACTCTCACTCTGGCGTTCTCTCCCACTCTCCTTTTCATCTGGCAGTGATACACTGTAATAGTTTTTTACTCCACTGCCTGCAGGTCTCAACTCTGAAAGTAATAACTTGAGTCCAAAACGTTTAGCAAAGCAACATTTCTCAAAAAGCATCCCTGTGTTTTTATTTAGGTCTATGACTACTGGCTGGAGGACATGTACTTGAACAACAGGTTGGCCCTACCGGTCAACTCCAGTCCTGTCATGGTGTTTCCTAAGCAGACGTTCAGAGATCAGAAAGATGCCCTCAGGTATGTGCTGGACTTTTGCTTCTGCTTTTGTTCAGACTAAATAATGTTTACATGATGTGAGTTTTGAAACTTTATCCACCTCTCCTTCGTTAGCTGTGACGCACCAAAGACACTGACGAAGGTGTTTCAGAGAAGATCCGGACAGAAACTGCCACTTTGCAACAACAGCATCATGTGTAGGTCAATGACAGGAGCGATTACAAGGAAAACTTCATCGTACATCATTTCATACTGAAAAAAGAAAAACTGCTATGGCAATTTAAGACATGTATAAGACAATATGAAAAATATGTATCTGCAACAGAACATCTAGATTTTTTTCATAATGGACTTTGATAACAGAAAATACTTCAGATGTTAAAGTCAGGTTTTGGATCAAGTGAGTTGATCAAAGTGAAAGGGTTTCTTTCTCAACTGAACTCCATAGACCAGAATACAATGACAATTATTTTTTATTAATGATTAATCTCACAAACCCTTTTCTTGATTAACCAATTGATTTGTCCAAAAAATGTCAAAAAAACACATTTAGATAGAGTCTAAGTAGATGTCTTTAAGGTGGAAACTTTCAAATCTTTGCTCCTAAATGTATATAAATGATGAATTGATTATCAAAACAGTTGCAAAGTTGCATTTTCTGTTGATCGTCTGATTGTTTCAGCTCTACTGGAGACCCTTTTTCTCTCCTATAAGATGTTACTTTGTGGGCAACTGCATTTAAAAACCCACATGCTGGAATGGTTGCAGCACATTCTCTGACAGATTTCAAGCAATTCTGGGAAATGTAAAAAATCTCAGATTTAAGCAAAGGTATATAAATGCACCGTCTTGCACCAAAAAAGTAACTCACTCATCAGATCTCTTGAGGCTATCTGATGGTCAATTTCATGTTTTCAGAAGTTTGGAAGCTGGTTGCTTAATTCAGTGTGTGGCCTCTCGGTTCTGTAAGACACTGTGCACTCAAAAAAAAAATGAAAAGACACCAGATAGCAAAGGTTAACAAGACTGAATGCTGCACACCATCACTAACCAAAGAAAATATACATAT